GGCCTAGGATGCAGCAAGTGCAGAGGGGATGGCTGCAGCCAATGTGCCAAGCCCAATTTCAAGGGCCAGATTTACCCAGGTCGAGCAGCATGGGAGGCAGCATTTGGCAAAAAGAAGTGAAACCATTTGTGACCAACCACCACTGAAGCCTTGCAGGGAAAGACTAATGCCAACATCATGGCATCAAGTCCATGGGAGCCAAGGCATATGATGAGAACATGTTCAAAGCCCAGCTGCAAAAAGAGCCAAAGAAGAATTGTTGCTGTCTGCTCACACAGTTTCAAATGTTTCAAAAGCCTTTGTGGCCACCAGTGTTTGGCTGTCATTTGCATCTTTGATTGAGCAGCTTTGGAAATCAAACAGAACAGTTTCACTGACATATTTTCTTCTGGTGCCCATGCCCAAAGCCAAACATGAGATACAATTGCAATGAAGAAACACTTTTCCATAGAATATATCCAACATGCATTGTTTGCTTGAAGGGCTCTCACACCATTGCCACTTCCAAATACATATCATGTCTTTTTTTGTGTCATTTGACAATATCATGGACAAAGGATCCATGAAAAAACATGCCATGGAGAATGATTTGCCAGAGCAGAAGCCCAAGACCAAGAAAGCCAAGCTGGCAGAGCTTTTACAATTCTCTTCCAATTTACCCAAGCATTCACAAAATGCTTTGGCAGCTATTCTCGAAAAGGCCAAGAAGTCTGGAATACCAGATCTACACAGTAGCAACCACCAAAGGGAGGCCAGGCTCCAACTTCTTGATAGTTGCCATGGAGGAGCTTTGGGTCCATTGATCCAGGAAGCCAACTTGGTGAAAGATGATGGGACCACCACCACCATGTTTTTTGCCAACCTATTGGTTTACATGATGGCCATCTATCACCAATATGGGTCATGGACCAAGCTTGTCCAGCAACATCATGCAGAATGCCCAAGCACCATCAATGAGCCATGGGGGTTGATTTTATATTGTGATGAAATCATCCCAGGAAATGTCTTGGGAAGGGCAGAAAGAAAGGTGTGGACCATTTATGCCACCTTTCTCCAGTTTGGAGACCATTTATCCCATGAAGATGCATGGCTAACCATCAGTGTGGAAAGATCCACTTTTGTGGCCACACTGGATGGTGGCATTGCCCAAATGATGGGCCATGTACTGCAAAGCATCTTCTGTTGCCCCATCCAAGACCCCAGGCTTGGCTTCAGGCTGAAAGCCACCAGTGGAGACACCACCTTGTTTTTCAACTTATCCATGGTTTTGGCAGATGGTGCTGCACAAAAGCAAGTTTGGTCCAGCAAAGGCGATTCAGGGACCAAGTTTTGCTTGTTGTGTGCCAATGTCCATGGCCAAGTTGTCAAGCATGCAGATGAGGAACCATATGAATTTCATTGTGCTACCACTCAATACAGCCAGCTCAGGCTTGTCACAGACCAGGAGTTGCTGGACAGCTACCAAAGATTGCATACCAGGTCCAGTTCTTGCACCAAGAAGGCCTTTGCACAATGGCAGCAAGCCACTGGCTTGACATACTCGAGACATGCCTTAATGTTGAACCAGCCATTGCTGGAAAAAGGCATAATCAGACCAGCCACACAGTTCTGCCATGACTGGATGCATGGAGTGCTCCAGGGCACTGCCCCATGTGTTCTCTACCACCTCTTTACCAGCTTGGCCACAGAATGCTTTGATTGCTATGGCTTCCTTGAAAAATATTTCCAGTGTTGGGAATACCCCAAAGGCTGGAAAGCAAGCCACTTTCACCAATTGTTTGAAAAGAAGAAAATGGAAAAATCCAAGAATGCCAGAAAATTCAGCTGCACAGCAGCAGAGTGTTTGGCCATATACCCTATAGTGAGGCATTGCATATGCACCATCATTCAGCCTCAAGGTTTGGCTGTGGCAGCAGTAGATGCTTTTTTGGCCATGTCAGAAGTCATAGACCAATGCCATGGTGGTGTGCAATGGAAAGCCACCACATGGCATTCCTTGTTGAGTGCTGTGGAAAGAGCAAATGCAGCATTTGAGGTTGCTTGGCCAGAAGAAACCATGATCAAGAAATGGCATTGGCATTTGCATCTACCAGATGCATTGTCCAGATTTTCCACTCTCCCAAGCTGTTTCACAGCAGAACGGAAACACAAAAGCATTTCAGCTTTGGCAACCAAATTGTTGCAAATCACCAGTTATGAAAAGCACCTCCTGCAGCAAGTGCTTTCCAATGAAATTTGCACTTTGCAGCAACCAGATTTATTTCCCAAAGTTTCCCACATGTGGAAACCTAAGCCTGCCACCCAACAGGACCAAGAGGCCATGGCACCTTTTCTGAACCAACCTTGCCTTCAAGCACAAAGTTCCACTGTTGCCATATTGGCCAGGGGTGGGCAAGTTTCAGGTGGAGATGCCATCATTTTTGCAGAAGGCAATGACCTCAGCAAATGGAAAGTTGCACTTGCCATCAAGCATGTCCAAGTCTTTGGCTTGCAAGCCACTTTGGCCCAACTGTGGTCCATACAGACCATGGACCAATACCATGCCAAATGCAAGGTGACAGCCTCCAATGGGCTCATTCCTTTGAGCAATATTTTGTTCCCAGTGCCATACAGCCAAAGCAAAGACCAAGTCACTGTGCTGTTGCCTTACCAGTGCTACAGTCGAAGATAGCAGGAAAAGGTTTGTGTGTGCAGCTGTTGTTTCCAGCCAGACATTCAAAGGCCATGGTGGCTCATCAAAGGTCAAGATGGCTTCTTCCATCAAGAAATGTTTGCAAATGCCTTGTGATGGCAAAACAATGTTAGACACACAAAAATACACATGTGTTTTTGTTTTTTTTTCAATTTGGCTTTCCTTTTTTTTGAAAAATACTTTGCTTTTAAAAAAAACTTCCTACCAAAATCATTTTGGTTCTTCCAAAAACATAAAACAAGGCTAGGTTTTGGAGAAGCAATTTTTAAAGTTATAACTAGTTACTAAGAGTTAGCAATTCAAGCTAATAATTATATAACTCATCTTAACTAACTTAACTTCTTATAACAAAACCAGGATCTCAAGTTGTTGTAGAGTCTGTGTGCCTTTAGGTGGGATTATGTGGAATTATGGTTTGGTTTGATGGCAGTGGATGGCAGTGGTTGTTGGACCAAAGGGGCCTTGCAATGTTAGTGGGCAGGGAAAGGTACAGGATGATTTGTTTGACGGGATGATTGTTTCCTTTTCACCATATATTATGTAGATGATTCCATAACCATATTCTTTCAAAAAAAAACTTATATTGAGAGTCCTCCGCCAAGGTATGTACGCGCACAGGTCGGCATCATGGTAGGAATCCCTTGCCCCACTTAAGGCATTGAGAAGGACATTGCTTTGCAACGAACAGTTTTGAACTCATGTTCAAACAACTTTGTCGATGTGCTGTTTCTGTTGTATTTCCTCACCCCATCCTGTTTCAACATCAAAGCAACCGTCATGCCTCTGAAGCAGGGGTCATTGTTGAACAGTACCCTGGCCTGTATCCTGGTACCAATGAAGTTGGTTGGCGGGAACTAGTTGGCATTGCATGTCAAAATATGTCAAAATATGTTTAATGGAATTCCCTGGAAAATACCGCGGTGGCTATGCAAATGGCATGCAATGAGCGAGTTGGTTTACTTGGCTGTCAGACAAGGTTCTTGGTGCCAGGAAACAGTCCAATCAAAATGCAAGAATGGAATGCCTCACTTCCAAAGCAAGTGCTAGGGGAAACAGTCCTAGACTAGTTCCCCACCTGCCAGATGAGGGTTGTGAGATTTTATCAGAGTTGTTCTCCTTCTTCTCCTTCTCCTTCTCCTCCTTCTCCTCTTTCTCCTCCACCACCTCTGCATCCACTTCCAGGTCCACTTCTGCCACTTTCATGTCCACTTCCGCCTTGCCAACTCTTCGCCAAGCTCTTCGCCAACTTCCGCACGCAGTGGGCACTGCTGGACCTCAACTGCAAGGGCCTGAGCGCAGTGAGCACCGCTGGATGCCAGATAAAATGTCAGAAGATATGCCAGATAGAATGCCAGAAGATATGCCAGATGGTATGCCAGAGAAAGTGCCATAATTTTTGCCAGATAGAATGCCAGAAGCTTAGCCAGATAGAATGCCAGAACATATGCCAGAAAATATGCCAGGTAGAATGCCAGATCGAATGCCAGAAGATATGTCAGATAGAATGCCAGAAGATTTGCCAGTAACAAATCGATAAATGTCATGGCGGGGATCACACGAAGTAAAGTAATTATATAAGCTTGGGTTGCGTCTTTTAAATGCCTATACCTACAGCTTCAAAGGAGAATAAATAAACGCTCGAGGAAACATATGCGTGTTTATGAAAAGTGCTCGTTTGCAATGCCGCGAAAAAAAAGTGCTACGAACCAACCCTTCAAACTCCAGCCATCTCAGTCATGGACATGGGCGTGAATACCTACACTAGCGCGGGCACTCACATTTCCTGGGTTTCATCAAGATTGTCACCACTGCTCTGTGGTTGTGCAGTTTATGTCCTGAAAGTGTGCCCAGGAGATAATTCACGTGCATTCGGCGGGTCTTTGGTCTTCATCAGGTTCTTGCACAACGGGTGAATTCTGAAAAGCACACACTTTAACTTTGCCCTCGTTTGCGGATATTTACGCTCGTTTGCGGGTATTTGCGCTGGTTGCTGCGGGTTATACAATTCTCTGAAACAGTTAATTTGGATGGCTGATTAATTTCATACTAGGTTATCTAGCTGCCTCAATGACCGCACTTGTTGACGTCCAATTCATCCGAAATGAATCGCAAGAGAAAACTGAGCCAAACGGTTATAGGTTGCAAAAAATGCGCGTTTAAAACAAGTGCTCGTTTCACCCGTATTTGTTCGTTTTGCTGAAATACGCGCGTTGGAGCTCATATCAGGAAGGTGCAAATATATTTGCCCGTTTGAAGGCCCAGGCATTATAGCTCCACAAAACGATCCATGATATTGTCAGCCGCCAAGGATTGCTTCACTTTTGCTTGGGCTTCTTGGCGTGCTCCTTGGCAGTATGAGACCGCTGCGACCTGTACGGGGTCAACCCACCATCCTTTCCTTTGCATAGCTGGATCTATAAAATTGGCGTGAGTTATGACCAGCTGAGGTTTGTCTACGAAGCTTGGCGGTTGGATCCGGGCCGCAGAATGTAGACAAAAGCCGGAGATATGTATAAGTTTCTACCATCGTTGAATGCTGCGCCGGTAGGAAAATAGTAAAGGAGTGGACAGTGGCCAATCGACTTGTGGACTCCTACCTGATCCTACATGCATGAGCCAGCCGTTCCTTTCACTTTCAAGTTTCAGAACCTTAAACTCGGAAACTGTTTCCTCAGAAATTGGTACCTCTTTCAGCAAAGATTTGGAACATCCACTCTCTTGGGGGAAGCTATACTCATATGATTTGCATTGAACCTTGTGACAATTTGGGACTCAGCGTTTGGCTCAGGAGAAGAATATCAAGCCTCTTCGGAGGCACTTGCTCGAGGTCAAGGCGTGCTGGTTGGCGAAAGTCTTCACGTTTTGTTTGCCCCATTATCCTCTTCACAAGCGGAATGAAATTTTGACTGGGACTGCGAAAAAGCATCCCTTAAGGCCGAGGCCAAAGAAAAGATTGTGCAGAAAGACAATCAAAAGGACTCGTTGATCATGGATTTGAAGAACCTGCTTGAGCAGAAAGAGAAGGAAAACGCCTCTCTCATCAAGGCCAAAGAAGAGATTGCGCAGAAAGAGAGCGAAAAGGCTTTGTTGGTCAGGGATTTGCAGAAAGTGCTTGCAAGGTCAAAGAAGGCGTACACCGAGAAAGCGAACGAACATGCCTCGTTGGTCAGGGACTTCGAGAAGGAGGTTGCTCAGCAAGTTAATGATGAGCTTGCACGCAGGAAACACTCACAGCCACAGGTTGATGGGGAGACTTGGCAATTTCAAGGCGACAGCGGCGAGTGGGTCTCGTTCCCCGCCTCTTTGACTGTGTCCAGCACGTTCGGAACTTTTTTTCCTCCGAATCTGTGGTACAGTGTAGGGGTCTTTTGTGGTAACCTTATAGGCTTATAGGCTTTCTTTCCGGCCTGGGCCAGGATTGTGCGAACAAAGCGCTCATGGTGAAATTTGGAGAAGGTCATGGAACTTGTGAGATTATCATAGATGGAAAGACTTATGAAATCGATTTTAAGAACTCTTCTCAGATGAACGTACGCACCAAAAAAGAACGTCAGATCCGTTGCTTCTTCGACCTACCTGCCCATTGGCAGATGACCAATGAAGATGCGCTGAAGTTTTTCAGGGGCAATCTGCAGAGGCCGCCAATGCTTCCAGTCACCGACCAAGATGTGAAGTCAAGATTGGGAAAGATCCTGAATAAATCACTGTCCCGTCATGATGGAAGCGACTGCACCTGCCTTCACGGAAGCTCAAACTTCGTTGTCACAGAAGCTTACCAGGTGAAAAATCTTAATTTGTGGCGACGCTACCAGCGCCTTGTGCGATCGATCCAGGACAAGCACAAGGAGCACGGCATTTCCCTTGAGGAGATCAATCCATCAGTCAGCGAAGCTTTGACCGAGTTTGCCCGGGATCTCACTGTCGACCTCGCTGGCAATGAACGGCTTCTGCTGCATGGAACTCGAGATTTTGAACTTGCGAGAGCCATTGCCACAGAAGGTTTCGACAATCGGGTGGCTCGGGACGGCCTTTTCGGAAGGGGAACCTACTTCGCAGCCCAGACCTGCAAGAGCGCTCAGTATGCCACCCCAGATGGAATGAAAAGCAAAGCATCACCGCAGATGGTGGGAACAATGCTCATTGCCCGTGTGGCAACCGGAGATCCTTTCTACACAGAAGCTCAATGTAGCACCTTGACACGTGCCTTGCCAGAAAGCAGTCATTTTTTTGAGATGAGCTACTTTTGTATCTAGTTTTGTGGAAATTGTACAGCTTGTTGTGATGTCTCTGAGTTTCAGCTTCACATGTTCTCTCCAGATTTTCGACAGGCCCAAACAATCAAGGACCTCCAGAAAAGAATGGCGCGCGCTGATTCCATCATTGCACGACCTGGCATTCCGAATGGCCAGCCTGGTGGAGTCCAGAGCCACATGGAGGTTGTGACCTTTGACCCGGCGCAGGCCTATCCCGAGTACATCGTCAAATTTACGGAGGAGTGAGCACTGGAAACATGAAATCTCGGAAATCGAAGCATTCGATCAATGCATTGAGTGCTTCTCAGTTGAATCCCCGACAGCAGATCGCTGGAGGGCCGCAGCTAGTTGTCGTGTATCAGTGGCGCCCTTCGCTAGACGCATGTGCGCCTTGTTAATGTTGCAGATGAGACATGGCAGACTCGCTTGACTGCTCGGGTCAGGCAAGATTTTAAAAGTCAGCGCCTGAGTTGCTGCCAGTTGCAGCGGGTAGAAGTGGAACATAGTGGAACAGGTTGTTTCCGTTGGGTCTTGACACCATGCCCATGCAAGTTGGCTCATCATGAGCTTTGGTTTTCCACGTGTGTCCGTGCATCTTCGGAAAAGGTTAAAAAAACACAATAAACCAAATTGGGCAGCAGAGCCAAGACAACTTCACACTACAGTGCCCTGAGAAGTACATTCCATTAGCACCACTGAGATCTTGAGCGTTTCGCGCTTGAAAACCCAACAGTACAGGGAAGCCACGCGCATGGTTTTCGGAAGATGAATGTCCCACAGGCATTTGTTGGGCTTCGCATCTCGCATTTCGAGCGAAATTGCCATTATCCATCCATCAATTCACTTGCACCATGGCGCAGCTGTGCCATGAGCTCTCTCCCTTTCGGCTGCGCTGCTGTGGCGGGCTTTGGCCGAAACCCACAGCTTGCAACCAGGCGCATCAAGGGCCCTAGCCCCACTTGCATCCATTTGTAGAATCTTGAAGGTGCTCAGTTTGGTGCCATCCAGTGGGGATGCTAAAAGTGAAAATCCAGCCTCCTGGTCGGGGCTGGGATAAGGATTTCAAACATACAGACGCCAGTTTCAAGTCGTTGATGTGCGGCTATCAAGGTGCTCCAAGGTGATCAGATGCAGGCGGAAGTAGCCATGTAACCCATGTAGCAATGTTTTCCTGGGGTCGTCATGATTTGCCCGGCGAGTTGAGCACTGTGTGGCTCCTCATCCCTTCGGAATTCGTCACCCAGGGCATCAGGGTGGTGACTATTTGATGGCACCGTGGGGAGGACGACTTGCGCTACTTACCCATTACAATGTTGATTTCATTTGATCATTGATGGACATTCTAGTTTCCCCGCGGCAGACTTGCAAAAAAAAATATGTGCAAACACACCGGTGCTACTTGTTGTGCGGTATAGGGGTGTGCCCTGCTAGCAAAATTAGCGCATACCAAGAGCCACAGCCAACCAATGTAGAGAACTCTTGGCCCCTGACCCCTATGGGAGCTCATGCCGCTTGTCACAATTGTCATCCTTCCAAAGAGTAAGTTGAATACCTTGCAAAAAATGGCGTTGGAAGGTGTTCTTCATGGAACATGCTATGTGTCCCGACTTTCCACTTGCATTTTTGGTCATGTTCCCACCCCGAAACCTGACCAGACCCTCTTTTTGTCTTCACAAGGTGCGTGAGCCCAGCCAGTGCATCTATATGAAGCCATAACGATCTATTCAGTTGCGTGCGATTTCTAAGACGGATTGGGTTTTTGGGCCACGAAGCGAGAAACAGGAAGATGTCAGACCTAGACCATCCTAGATTCTTCCATTTAAGATGTCAGGGTCTTGTTCTTTTTGGAAGAGTTCTTTGTAGATGCCAAGTTTCTGCCGCTTTGTGGTGACCAAAATGATCGTGACATGCATATAGCGGTGGAAAATCAAAGAGCTGCTAATGACCAAACGCGCGGGGAGAAACTTGATTGCTTTCACCATCCTTTGCTGTTGGAAACAAGCCCAAAGATGCAGAAGACGACTCATCAGCTGCGTTTGTTTGACCATGTTTGACCTGTCACATCTGGTTTGAAAGTGTGCAAGCTGAGTGTCTCCTTGTTCTGTTTTACATGTTTACAAGATTTGGCGTAGCAACACAATACCGTCCATAGAAAAGAACAGACAGCATGCATCCTGAGCAAGCGATGTTGGTGGATTTCACGTTTGGTGTTCGAAGTCTTTTCTGCTTCTCTACAGCGCAACCATTGAGTTAATGCCTCTGTTAGTGGTTCTCAGCAAGCTCTCGCAACTTGCAGTTGTCATGGGAAATTGGGGAAAATGGACGGAACGGGTCGCAGACACATGAACAGTTACTTTGCAAACTGAAAAGCTGTAGTGGCTCATGTTCTTTGGAAGGTTGCTTTCCTATTCACGTTGCTGCTTTCATACCATCTGAAGCCAAAGCTAAGCCATTCTGGCGACAGGACTCTTGAGGGTTGATCAACTGTCACTATCCGCTATTTTCAGTCTGTTTTGGGGCCAGCTCTGCTACATGCCTCTGCTACATGGCGAAGGAACCAGATGTCTGGAGACTCGGCGGGTTTTATGTTTGGGTTTGAACATGTCCATCAAAGAAGAAATCTTGAGTGACACGTGACCTTACTATATTTTAAGCCGTACAGGTGGACATTGAGATCAGTTGAGATCAGGTGGTTTTGTTTCACCATTTTTTTGTGAGCATGAACTATGGAATCAACCGGCGACAGAATTAGCACTATGCCTTAAATATTGAAAGTTCTCTTGGGTGCAGCCCGGAAGTCGCCGATTCCTTCCCTCATTTTCAGAAGTTAAAGGGACATCGGGGTGCTAGATTGAGAAGACACGTACCAAATCACATTTCAATACAGTAAAATCCCTAGCAAACGGCACTGCTCAATCCTCAAAGATCCCAGGCTTGGGTTGTTTGATTTCAGACATGGGTTGATCTGAGGCTTGGGTTGTTTGTTTTTCGCTTTGTAAGCAGCCCTGATGTCAGCGCCTAGGAAAGCTTTGGGTTTGGTGTTTGGAATGCTTGGGTCCCTTGGCAGCCTATAGGTGCAGCTACAACCTTCATCCACAGTTTGCAAATGTAAGTGGTTTGTCCTTCACAGCTGAACTTCGATGGGGTTGGATCGGCCAGCTTAGGATTATCATCCATTTTCGTTCTGATGCTTGGCATTTGGATCGAGGCAGCGTGATCTAGACATTATCGGGTCGAGATGGTCATACAGTCATATAATTACATAGATCCTTTCCGCTTGACCCGGCCAAGGGCTTTACGGGAGCGATCATCGATATATTTTGTAAAATGTCGACAGGTTTGATTTGATTTTGATCAGCGTTTTTGGTTTGCCTGACTTGTTTCCTTTGCTGGCCCAGATGAGATCAGATGAGTCTGTTGAGATGCTTTTAGACATCGCCTCCTCAGAACAATTATAACAGCATCAAACAAAGAAGACTAGAAGTAGCCAAAAATTACCACAACAAGATTGGACCGAGTCTTCTCCCGAGGCTTCTCACGAAGGGCCCCTTCCAACCTTCCAATTTAGGTCTTCTGTTTTCCTTCAAAACTCGCGCAGGGAAGTCATGTTTTTGCTATTTCTTGGGCTTTTCTTGTGGTGGTGCACAAGAAAAAACACTAAAAACACCACAGGTTCAAAATGTTCAAACGTTCGCAGGTAAAATGAAACGCAACATCTCTTGAGGGACGTTGCTGGATGACCTGCACTGAAACAAAGCGGTGATCTGGGGTTTGGTTTCTGGCCCAGGAGAAGAGGATCAAACGTCTTCAAACGGAGTTGGGCGAGGCGAGGTGCATTGGTGTGCAAAACTGGTCCAGCCGAACCGTGCTAGATGCTCTTCAGACCATTCCAAATCTGAAATGGGCGCAATTTCACATGGAACTGTCCTGTTCAGTGACAGTATGCTGCCTGGGGCAGCAAAATGTCTCCAGATTTCCAGCTAGGGCCCTTCCGAGGTGATGAGTTCCATTTCACATAACCCCAAGCCCAGGAGCGCAATATGCATAAGCTGCTTGATATGCAAGAGAGATACGTGACAAGGACTTGGCTTGAGAATTTCTCAACGTCAAGGGTGCTTTGACCGGAAAGTTGACCCTTCAAAGTGTCTAGCCAATTTTCATGAAATTTATATAGGGGGTGCGGGGTGCAGGGCAGTTTTTAAACTGAGCAGACCGGAGTCGATCCTAGTAACTCGCTGGCACGGCTTGCACGGGCAGAGAAGGAGCTTGTGTCGTTGGAGCTGAACTTCCAGCAGCAGCTTGCACAGCAAGTTCGTCATGAGCTTGCACTCCGGATTCACTCACAGCCACAGGTTGATGCGGAGACTTGGCAATTTCAAGGAGACAGCAGCGAGTGGGTCTCGTTCCCCGCCTCTTTGACTGTGTTCAGCACCTTTGGAACTTATTATTCGTTCCCCTGAATTTAAAGTGGTCTTGCGTTGTATAGCTTCTGTTTGTCATTGCGCATGAGTGAGGACTGCTCGAACAAGGAACTCATGGTGAAATTTGGGGAAGGTCATGAAACTTGCAAGATTGTCATAGACAGAAGAACCTACCAAATCGACTTCAAGGAGTCCTCCCAGGTGAACGAACTCACCAAAAAGAAACGAAGGATCCGCTGCTTCTTCGACCTGCCAAACCACTGGCAGATCACGAACGAAGATGCATTGGAGCTTTTGAAGGATCGTTTGCAGGTACCCATTTCCCAAACGCACACCCTCGCAAACTTTGCGCAGCTGCATGCAGTGACTGACCAAGATATGAAGTCAAGATTGGCAGACCTGCTGAACAGATCGCTTTCCCGTCATGATGGAAGCCATTGCGGCTGCCTTCATGGATGGTCAGATTTTGTGGTCACAGAAGCTTACCAGGTCAACAACCTTCCTCTGTGGCGACGGTACCAACGATGTGTGAGATCCATTCAGGACAAACATAAGCTGCATGGAATCTTCCCTGAAAGCATCAGTCCGTCAGTGGGCAAAGCCTTGACTGAGTTTGCCCGGGATCTCACTGTCGACCTCGCTGGCAATGAGCGGCTTCTGTTGCATGGAACTCGAGATTTTGAAATTGCGAGAGGCATTGCCACAGAAGGTTTCGACAATCGGGTGGCTCGGGATGGCCTTTTCGGAAAGGGAACTTACTTGGCAGCCCAGACCTGCAAGAGCGCTCAGTATGCCATTGAAGATGGATGGAAGAAGATAGCATCACCGCAGATGGTGGGGACCATGCTTATTGCCCGTGTGGCAATCGGGGACCCTTTCTACACACCAGAGCCATGTCCTGCAGACTTGTCAAGTACCTTGGCCAAAACCGATCGGATCGTTTTTTGAAATGAGTCACTCTTGCATGCCCCGTGCCCCGGAAGAAATGCAGGGTGTGCACAGTGTGGTGTCATCCTTTTTGATTGACTTAATGACTTAATTCTTTCAAATGTTTGACAGACAAGAGCAAAGCAACCAAGGACCTCCAGAGAAGAATGGTGTGCGCGCTGACTCCATAATTGCACGACCTGGCATTCCGAATGGTCAGCCTGCTGGAGTCCAGAGCCACATGGAGGTTGTGACCTTTGACCCGGGACAGGCCTATCCCGAGTTCATTGTCAGGTTTGAGGAAATCGATGCGCTGGATTGAATCCCCGTAGAAGATCGCTGGAGAGCTGTGTAGTCCCATTTGGGACAGGTTTCAAAGTAAACCTTCCAGACGACTTGAGCCAGCCGAGGGTTCACAAATTGCATGCGCGATATTTGTGTAAGTTGTGACCCGGGCTGAGTTCGTATTGGGTCCTTGTAGGGGCTGCCTATACGTAGGCATGGGCGGCATGGGACGGCCAGACTTCACTTGACATCCAGGGAATCCCGCGCATGGAACGGGTTCCAATGCAGCATTTTGGATCGTTTTAGCAGGCTTTCTCAACGGAACGGCTGTGGTTTGTAGATGATTATGACATTCTCATCACCCGGAAGGAGTGATCGCAGTACAATCCACATTGTGCCCTTGAGCCATGCAAACTTCACGCCGTGAGCAGTACATACAAGATATACAAGTAGCACTGGGATCTTTGAAATTACATGTGAGCATGAAAATCCAACATGGAACCCCCAGAGAATGGGTTTTTCGCGGATGAATATCATATTGAAAGCTGTCAGTTTGGGATTCCACATTGCATACTTCGAAGTAACTTGCAACATTTGGCGCAGCTGCGCCATGAGCTCTCTCGCTTTTGGCTGCCTCTTGCGCTGGGCTTTGGCCGAGCCGCAGAGCATGCGACCAGGCACATCAAGGGCCCCAGACCCTCCGGGATCTTGTAAAATCTTCGCGGTGCCCAGTTTGACGCCATTCATGTGGGTGGAGTTTTAAAATCGAAGTGAAAACCCAACCTTAAAGTCATTGATGTGCAAAGCTTTGGTGGTATGATTTTTGGCCCTTACCCATGCTGATTTATGTGTTTGTGATTGTTCGTGCATTTGTCTCGACGAGGCTTTGCTGGAATGTCGGGAGGGTATCATTTCATTATCGATCCAGCTGTTGGTTTTCAGTAGGCTGCCAAAACATATATCAAAACTCCCTGGTGTTGTGTGCTGTGCTGCGCAATGTGTGAGGGCCCTTGGCCCCAAACCCCAGTATGAGTCGTTACCACATGTGACAGTTGTCACCCTTCTCAAAAATCGAAATCAAAACAAACAACTCCCGTGGAAATTGTAGTGCATGAGATGAAGTTCTTCATTCCAAAATAGATTTTTGGCCCACCCCCCGAAACCTGACCAGTTCGTTAAAACCTCCCAATGTGAAGGCGCCCAGTCAGTGCGTCCACGTACCATCTGGAGTTCTGAGACATGCCGAGGTCATAAGATCGTTGCGCTCAAAGATTGGGGCCAGGCCAATTTTCGCCTCATTTGGCATCGTCTTGTAGGGCCATGTTTTAGACGGTTCTTCGTTAGATGCCAAGTTTCTCCGGAGTTGATGCTCAATTTCCGTTGAGAAATCGGCTTGATAAAACATGATGTAACAATGAACAGGGGAAAGCAATGAACAGGAACTGATGATCAAAAGCGCTGAAAGGAACCCATTCGCTGTTTCATGTCGTTGCTGGAGCAATGCCCGGCCAAAGTTGCAGAAAGCGACTGGGAGGACTGAGAGCTGCGTTTGTTTCACCTGCTGCATGTAGTTTAAGATTTCACCCAAGAGCAGAAACTGACGGACAAAATGCGGAAGAAGCGATTCGAATGACAGGCGCAGGGGCTTCATTCGAGGCAGTCAGTGAAGAATGTGGAGAGTTCTTGTGTCGGCTATGGGCCAATGATCATAAATCACGAACCGTACCTGACAAGACATGAAGACGGGTCTTGCAGGAAACCTGCAACACTGAAACGCTTTAGCTCCTTCTGCCAGATTGCTCTTCTGAAAGCTTGGTCCTCATCACTATGCGAACACCGTTGCTGCAAGCCATTTGGTGCCAAGTCCATCCTCAAGAGGGGAACAACATGGAACAACCATCCATGAAGCAATCCACTGGTTGATGAATAGTCCTGAAGCCGAAGGGCCGCCGGAATTGAAGGTTGAGAGATTTCTGATGTGACAAACACCCTAAATATGAAAACACACCGGTGTGAAGTGCTATGCAGCAGCAACGTGTGAGGGCCCTTTGCCCCTAACCCCGGTGTGAGCCTTTGCCACTTCATGCCACTTGTGACACTGTCACCCGTCTCTTATTTTGAAATGAAAACAAAAGCTCCTGAAATTGCTGTGAAGATGATATTCTTCATGCAAAAAGTTAATTGGATATTTAGATTTATGTATTATTTTATTCCTTTATTTCCATATTTGGTTGGTTGGATGCATGCTTCCAACCCCCAAACATGATCAATTCTTTAAAACCTCCCGAGGTAAAGGCGCCCAGTCAGCGCCTCCATGAGGCCACCAGTTGGAGTTCTGAGACAAGCGAAGGTCATAAGATCTCTATACGAGCGCGCAAAAGGAACACATGTTTCAATACCCATAGGATCCATATGTATGCCATATTAATGGTAACATGGATCCCATCAATATACCCCAGTCATGATAGTCATGTTAGCATATATACCAGCACCATGGATCCTATGGGATATGGCGGTATCATCCTACAGAGCCACGTTTCTCGGGATTTGATGATCAATTTCAAGCGTCGAAACCGGCCAGATATAAGATGCATTTTAACAATGGACAAGGTGCCAAGGCTAAACCAAAAAAAACAAATGAACTGAGGACTGGTTGGTGGTTTCATTTTTTTGTTCCATAATATATCGGATAATCCTTCCCATTGACTAATATTTTTCCAGATATGGTTAAAACCAGCAACCAGATGACCCTTGAAGAAGCATTGATTGTTTTCATGTCGCGTTTTCCTGGAGCAATGCCCAGCAAGCGACTGGTCAGCTGAGTCAGATGCGTTTGTTTGACCTGAATAAGCGCAATGCTTCCATCTTTAAATGCGTCCAGGGTGACGGAGTCAGCCGGATTTCTGAGACTTGGCCGGTTTTGGTCTTGCTTGGCCAGGTATTCTTCCATTGCTGTAGAGTCCGTATGCCTTTAGGTGGGATTATGTGGAATTATGGTTTGGTTTGATGGCAGTGGATGGCAGTGTTGGACCCAAGGGGCCTTGCAATCAGGATCCCTGCCAAGTTGTTTGAATCTCTTGCAGCAAGTATTCGGACAGGAGATCTAGTGATCGTAGTGCTTCTGGAATCAGTTGTCAGTGGGCAGGGAAAGGTATAGGATGATTTGTTTGACGGGATGATTGTTTCCTTTTCACAACAAACATATGTAGATGATGCCATAACCATATTCTTGAAAAAATGACTTTTATTGAAAGTCCTCCGCCAAGGCGTGTACCCCCACAGGTTGGCATCATGGTAGGAATTCCTTGCCTCACTTAAGACCTTGAAAAGGACACTGCTTTACGACGCACAGTCTTGAATTCATATGCTCAAACACCTTCGTCGATGTGCTGTTTCTTTTGTATTTCCCCTCCCCTTTCTGCAGTCGATAGTGGTTTCAACATCAAAGCAACTGTCATGCCTCTGAAGCAGGGGTCATTGTTGAAAAGTACCCTGGCTTGTATCCTGGTACCAATTAAGTTGGTTGGCGGGAACTAGTTGACAGCGCATGTCAAAATATGTCAAAATATGTTTAATGGAATTCCTTGGAAAATGCCACGGTGGCTATAGAAATGGCATGCAATGAGCGAGTTGGTTTTCAGCCTTGGCTGGCAGACAAGGTTCTTGGTGCCAGGAAAGAGTCCAATCAAAATGCAAGAATGGAATGCCCCACTTCCACAGCAAGTGCTAGGGAAAACAGTCCTAGACTAATTATACAAGCTTGGGTTGCGTCTTTTAACTGCCTATATTATAGCTCCACAAAACGATCCATTATATTGTCAGCCGCCAAGGATTGCTCCAAGTTTGCTTGGACTTCTTGGCGTGCTCCTTGGCAGCATGAGACCGCTGCGACCTGTACAGGGTCAACCTACCATCCTTTCTTTTCATAGCTGGATCTAAAAAATTGGCGTGAGTTGTGATTAGCTGAGGTTAGTTGTTTTTTTTGCGCACTACGAAGCTTGGCGATTGGATCCGGGCCGCAGGATGTAGACAAAAGCCGGAGATATATCTTTAAGTTTCTACCATCGTTGAATGCTGCACCGATAGGAAAATAGTAAAGGAGTGGTCAGTGGCCAATCGGCTTGTGGACTCCTACATGATCCTACATGCATGAGCCAGCCGTTCCTTTCACTTTCAAGTTTCAGAACCCTAAACTCGGAAACTGTTTCCTCAGAAAGTGGTGCCTCTTTCAGCAAAGATTTGAAACATTCAGCCTCTTGGGGGAAGCTACTCATATGATTTGCATTGAACCTTGTGACGATTTGGGACTCAGCGTTTGGCTCAGGAGAAGAAAATCAAGGCTCTTCAGAGTCACCTGCTTGAGGTCACGGCGCGCTGGTTGGCAAAAGTCTTCTTAGATGCGGTCAAAATAAGCGTAGATTACTTTAGTAGGGGAGGGTCCGGTTGTGTTGAGAAAGCGCACCAAACCATGTAAAGCGATACAACTTGTAACCATATGAGAGTGCATTAAACTTGGTGTAAACCAAGCAAATAGCTACGAACGCTTCTTTATTGGAACTATGGGGTCCCATCTTCAATTTTTAGAGCTTTTGAGCGGGGAAGTGTGGCGTTTTGTGACGCCATTGTTTATCAAAGAGGGACAATTGCGAGGTGACCCTTTTTCGTTTTCATAGAATTAGTGATCTTAAAACGGTTCGGAACCATTGATCTTAACTAAGTTCAGAGTTGAGCTTGTGATAAATGTCCTTCCTTAGGAAAGAGTCTAGGAATGTGCTTGCTGCAGATGGCCCCCCAACATGGTTGCAATCGCAAAGACAACGAGCGCCCCTTCATCCATGAATCCGTAAAGCGAATTCCGCTGCAATTGTACATTATTTAGTGTTGATTTATATAGAGCGATAGGGCCCCCCCAAAAAAGCGATAACTTATGTTTTCGTACCAAGCATCAACAATTGATTTTGACGGTGGCTCACGTTTTGTTTGCCCCATTATCCTCTTCACAAGCGGAATGAAATTTTGACTGGGACTGCGAAAAAAAAGCCTCCCTTGTCAAGGCCAAAGAAAAGATTGTGCAGAAAGACAATCAAAAGGACTCGTTGATCAAGGATTTGAAGAACCAGCTTGAGCAGAAAGACAATGAAAATGCCTTCCTCATCAAGGCGGAAGAAGAGATGGCGCAGAAAGAGTTCGAAAAGGCCTTGTTGGTCAGGGATTTGCAAAACCAGCTTGAGCAGAAAGGGAAAGAAAATTCCTCCCTCATCAAGGCCAAAGAAGAGATTGCGCAGAAAGAGAATGAAAAGGCTTTGTTGGTCAGGGATTTGCAGAAGCAGCTTGCACGGACGGAAAAGGAGTTTGTGGAGAAAGCGAATGAACATGCCTCATTGGTCAGAGACTTCGAGAAGGAGCTTGCACAACAAGTCAATGATGAGCTTGTGCAGCGGATTTACTCACAGCCGCAGGTTGATGGGGAGACTTGGCAATTTCAAGGCGACAGCGGCGAGTGGGTCTCGTTCCCAGCCTCTCTGAATGTGTTTAGCATGTTTGGACTTTTTCCCCACATCTTTGTGTGGGGTTCTTGTTTTTGATTCTGTATCCCGGGCTCCTCCTTCTCCTCCTCCTCCTCCTCCCGCCCTCCTCCACACCTTTGTACACACACATTTTGTCACCACACACTTTGTCAACACAGACTTTGTCACCACACACTTTGTCAACACAGACTTTGTCACCACACACTTTGTCCACACACACTTTGTCAACACAGACTTTGTCACCACACACTTTGTCAACACAGACTTTGTCACCACACACTTTGTCCACACACACTTTATCAACAAACACTTTGTCCACATACACTTTGTCACCACACACTTTGTCCACACACACTTTGTCCACACACACATTATCAACAAACACTTTGTCCACACACACTTTGTCAACACACACTTTGTCAACACACACTTTGTCAACACACACTTTGTCCACACACACTTTATCAACAAACACTTTGTCAACATACACTTTGTCACCACACACTTTGTCCACACACACTTTGTCCACACACACTTTATCAACAAACACTTTGTCCACACACACACTTTGTCAACACACACTTTGTCAGCACACACTTTGTCAACACACACTTTGTCCACACACACTTTATCAAGAAACACTTTGTCAACACACACTTTGTCAACAAACACTTTGTCAACAAACACTTTGTCCACACACACTTTATCAACAAACACTTTGTCAACAAACACTTTGTCAACACACACTTTGTCCACACACACTTTTGTCACCACACACTTTGTCACCACACACGTTGTCACCACACACGCCGCGGCACTTTGCGTGGCAGGCGTGGCACAAACTCACATCCACCTACGTTTTACGTGGCAGGCGTGGCACAAACTCACATCCACCGTCGTTTTGCGTGGCAGGCGTGGGACAGATGGCACTGGGTGGCGCGCTTGGACGGGCTTGGGCGCCTGTGACGCCGCGGCACTTTGCGAGGCAGGCGTGGCACAAACTCACATCTACCGTCGTTTTGCGTGGCAGGCGTGGCACAAACTCATATCTACTGTCGTTTTGCGTGGCAGGCGTGGGACAGATGGCACTGGGTGGCGCGCTTGGACGGGCTTGGGCGCCTGTGACGCCGCGGCACTTTGTGTGGCAGGCGTGGCACAACCTCACATCCCTTCGTTTCACGTGGCAAGCGTGGCACAAACTCATATCTACTATCGTTTTGCGTGGCAGGCGTGGGACAGATGGCATTGGGTGGCGCGCTTGGACGGGCTTGGGCGCCTGTGACGCCGGGGCACTTTGTGTGGCAGGCGTGGCACAACCTCACATCCACCTTCGTTTCACGTGGCAGGCGTGGCACAAACTCACATCTACCGTCGTTTTGCGTGGCAGGCGTGGGACAGATGGCAGTGGGTGGCGCGCTTGGACGGGCTTGGGCGCCTGTGACGCCGCGGCACTTTGCGTGGCAGGCGTGGCACAAACTCACATCTACTGTCGTTTCACGTGGCAGGCGTGGCACAAACTCACATCTACTGTCGTTTTGCGTGGCAGGCGTGGGACAGATGGCACTGGGTGGCGCGCTTGGACGGGCTTGGGCGCCTGTGACGCCGCGGCACTTTGTGTGGCAGGCGTGGCACAACCTCACATCCCTTCGTTTCACGTGGCAAGCGTGGCACAAACTCATATCTACTATCGTTTTGCGTGGCAGGCGTGGGACAGATGGCATTGGGTGGCGCGCTTGGACGGGCTTGGGCGCCTGTGACGCCGCGGCACTTTGTGTGGCAGGCGTGGCACAACCTCACATCCACCTTCGTTTCACGTGGCAGGCGTGGCACAAACTCACATCCACCGTCGTTTTGCGTGGCAGGCGTGGGACAGATGGCACTGGGTGGCGCGCTTGGACGGGCTTGGGCGCCTGTGACGCCGCGGCACTTTGCGTGGCAGGCGTGGCACAAACTCACATCTACCGTCGTTTTGCGTCTCATATCTACTGTCGTTTTGCGTGGCAGGCGTGGGACAGATGGCACTGGGTGGCGCGCTTAGACGGGCTTGGGCGCCTGTGACGCCGCGGCACTTTGTGTGGCAGGCGTGGCACAACCTCACATCCCTTCGTTTCACGTGGCAAGCGTGGCACAAACTCATATCTACTATCGTTTTGCGTGGCAGGCGTGGGACAGATGGCATTGGGTGGCGCGCTTGGACGGGCTTGGGCGCCTGTGACGCCGCGGCACTTTGTGTGGCAGGCGTGGCACAAACTCACATCTACTGTCGTTTCACGTGGCAGGCGTGGCACAAACTCACATCTACCGTCGTTTTGCGTGGCAGGCGTGGGACAGATGGCATTGGGTGGCGCGCTTGGACGGGCTTGGGCGCCTGTGACGCCGCGGCACTTTGCGTGGCAGGCGTGGCACAAACTCACATCTACTGTCGTTTCACGTGGCAGGCTGGCACAAACTCACATCTACTCTCGTTTTGCGTGGCAGGCGTGGGACAGATGGCATTGGGTGGCGCGCTTGGACGGGCTTGGGCGCCTGTGACGCCGCGGCACTTTGCGTGGCAGGCGTGGCACAAACCTGACATTCACCTTCGTTTCACGTGGCAGGCGTGGCACAAACTCACATCTACTGTCGTTTTGCGTGGCAGGCGTGGGACAGATGGCACTGGGTGGCGCGCTTGGACGGGCTTGGGCGCCCGTGACGCCGCGGCACTTTGCGTGGCAGGCGTGGCACAAACTCACACCTACTGTCGTTTTGCGTGGCAGGCGTGGCACAAACTCACATCCACCGTCGTTTTGCGTGGCAGGCGTGGTACAGATGGCACTGGGTGGCGCGCTTGGACTGGCTTGGGCGCCTGTGACGCCGCGGCACTTTGCGTGGCAGGCGTGGCACAACCTCACATCTACTGTCGTTTTGCGTGGTAGGCGTGGCACTCATGGCACTTTCACACACCACTTTGTCACACACCATCTTTCACACACCACTTTGTCACACACCATCTTCCACACACCCTCTTTTACACACCATCTTTGTAACACACCATCTTTTACACCCAACTTTGTCACACACCATCTTTAACACACCATCTTTCACACACCACTTTGTCACACACCACTTTGTCACACACCATCTTTCACCACACCATCTTCCACACACCATCTTTCAGCACACCATTTTTCACACACAACTTTGACTTTGTCACACACCATCTTTGACACACCATCTTTCACACACCACTTTGTCACACACCACTTTGTCACACACAATTTCGACTTTGTCACCATCTTTCACACACCGCTTTGTCACACACCACTTTGTCACACACCATCTTTCACACACCATCTTCCACACACCATCTTTCAGCACACCATTTTTCACACACAACTTTGTCACACACCATCTTTTACACACCATCTTTCACACACCACTTTGTCACACAGCATCTTTCGCCACACCACTTTGTCACACACCACTTTGTCACACACCATCTTTCACACACAACTTTGTCACACACTCTCTTTCACACACAACTTTCACACACACCATCTTTCACACACAACTTTTTCACACACACACACCATCTTTCTTCGTCACACACCATCTTTCACATGCCACTTTGTCACACACAACTTTGTTTTACTTCTCGATCCTCCACCGCCTCCTTTGTCTTTCCTTCCTTCCCCGGCCCCGCTACAACACTATGTGCTCGTTATTGGAAGAAGTTGTCTTGTGGGGTTATCCGGTCCTTTAATTCGGTTTTCCCAAATGGGTGATACTACAGAGGGGTCTTTCCTGACGGCTTTCTTTCCGACATGGCATGGACCAGGATTACGCGAACAAGGTGTTGATGGTGAAATTGAGAGAAGGCCATGAGATGTGCGATATTGTCATAGATGGAAAGACTTACGAAATCGACTTCAAGAAGTCCTCTCAGATGAACCAACGTACCAAAAAGGAACGGATAATTCTCTGTTTCTTCGACTTCCCGTCGCATTGGCAGATGACGAACAAAGATGCGTTGAAGCTTCTCAAAGAAAGTCTGCAGGCACCTCCCTTGAATGGTCTGCAGCAGTTCTCGTGGCAACGGCTGCTGGGCCGCAGCGCAAATAGATCTCCCACTTTTGTGCAACCACTGTTTCCCGTCACTGACCAAGATGTGAAGTTGCGGCTGGGAGAGTTGCTGAACAAATCACTTTCCCGCCATGATGGGGGCCAATGCACCTGCCTCCACGGAAGCTCAAACTTCGTTGTCACAGAAGCGTACCAGGTGAACAATCTTCCTTTGTGATCTTTGTGGCGACGGTACCAGCGCTTTGTGGGAAAAGCACAAGCTGCACCGCATTTCGCTTCAGGAGATCAATCCATCAGTGAGCGAAGCATTGATTGATTTTGCCCGGGAGCTCAAGGTCGACCTCGCTGGCAATGAGCGGCTTCTGCCGCATGGGACGCCAGATTTTGATCGTGCGAAAGGTATTGCAACAGAAGGTTTCGACAATCGGGTGGCTCGGAATGGCCTTTTCGGAAAGGGAACCTACTTCGCAGCCCAGACCTGCAAGAGCGCCCAGTATGCCACCCCAGATGGAATGAAAAGCAAAGCATCACCGCAGATGGTGGGGACCATGCTCATTGCCCGTGTGGCAATCGGAGATCCTTACTACGCGCCGCGCGGATGTCCAGACCTGTCACGTGCCTTGCCAGAAAGCAGCCTTTTTTGCACATTGATTGAAGTGAATCGCTTTTGCATTGATTTTGCATGTCATTTTGAAAAATGCAAGGCTCGTTGTGGTCTCTTGGTTCTGGTTTCAGCTTCATGTTCTCCGAAGTTTTTTTCGACTGGAAGAGCAAGACAATCAAGGACCTCCAGAAAAGAATGGCGTGCGAGCTGATTCCATCATTGCAAAACCTGGCATTCCAAACGGTCAGCCTGCTGGAGTCCAGAGCCACATGGAGGTTGTGACCTTTGACCCGGCGCAGGCCTATCCCGAGTTCATCGTCAGGTTTATGGAGGAGTGAGCACAGGGAACATGAAATCTCCTTAGGATGGAATCAACGCATTCAATCGATGTATTGAGCGCTTCCCAGTTGAATCCCCCACAGCAGATTGCTGGAGGGCCGTAGCCACTACCAGTATCAGTAGCCACTTTTCCCATATGGATGGGCTACAGTGCTACAGATTTTAACGCAGACCTTCCAGATACCCTGAGTCAAGGGTTTAAAGCAAGTTGCGAGCTGTCACCGGGGCTGAGTTCGTATATTTGGGTTTTCGTGAAGAAGCCTAGGAGCCTGCCTACGCATGAGCACACCAGATTTTGTTTGAGATTCAGAAAATCAGTGCCTGGAACTGAGCACTTTGGATCATTTTGGTAGAATTGCTGGACCGAATGGCTTGGATTTACAGTATTCTGTCAGCAGGTTAGTGTTGGAAACTCGTACTTGGCAACGCAAAAAGACCACCACACTACCCACAAAGAGTGATTACAACCCAAGCAACCCAAATTGAGCTGCTGAGCCAACTCAACTTCACGCCCCAACAAGAGCATATATAGCGCCACTGATATGGTTGAATCACACCCTTTGGAAATCCAACATGAAACCGACAAAGGCCGGTTTTGGAAGATGACTATCCTATTGGACATGTGCCATTAATTCATTTGCACCATGGCATAGCTGCGCCATGAGCTCCCTCGCTTTCGGCTGCGCTCCTGCACCGGGCTTTGGCCTAGCCCCGCATGCAACCAGGGCCCCAACCCCACAGGGCCGCAGCGTTTCGCCGGTGCAGCACATCTTCCCACCAGCAGGGGCCATTGGAAATCCTGGAAATCTTGGATCCTGTGGGCTGCTGGGCCCATGCTTGGCACCATGGCCTGGGTCATGTGGTACCCTTGGACCTTTGGGCAGCGGCTTGGGATTGCCCAATGGCAGCAATATGGCGGCTGGAATCTTTCCAGCGCCCAGCTTGACGCCCTTCAGGTGGGGGAAGAATAAGGAAGACAACCCAGCCTCCAAGTGTCGGATGATGTTGGATGTGTTTTTGTTGTCCCACCAACTGATGATGATGATGATGATGATGATGACGATGACGATGATGATGATGATGATGATGATAATGATGACGATGACGATGACGATGACGATGATGATGATGATGATGATGGTGATGATGATGATGATGACGATGACGATGACGATGACGATGATGATGATGATGATGATGATGATGATGATGATGATGATTATGATGATGATGATGATGATGATGATGATGATGATGATGATGATGTGGTTGAACTCCATTGATTTTTTCAGCCTTCACCCCAACCTTCCCTGCCATCCATCTCTGCACAGGTCCAGCAGATCACCAACGGTGCCGATGGCACCCTTCCGTGCTCCCAGCAACCTGAGCAGCGTCGATGCTTCCGAGATGTCCACCTTGTCGAGTCCTCGGATTCCAAGGCAGGGACTGCCAAGACCTCCTGTGACATCAGGGCGACATCAGGGGTGACTTTTTGATGGTGACATGATGGTACTCTGGGTCATTGCTTCCTGCCTATACTGACATTTTCTGACATACTGAGTTGTCTAGTTATATAGATTTTACATTTATAGATGTCTATTTTGCATCTACCTCTTTGCTTGTTTGCCATTCCTGGATCAACTTAGAACAGGGGGAGTAAGGTGCAAACAAGATCCTGTTCATGCTGAGAGGCTCTCTTGATCATGAACCTATAGATGTGGATGCCCTTTTGCCAGACCAATAGAAACATCTTAAAAGTCTAAAGTCATGTTGCAGGAAAACAGGGTTTGACCCCACGATCAAATTATGTCCAATAGCTTCAATTCTTTAATTTTCGCCATTGCTTTGCACCCCGTGCTTTCACATGAACTCCAACCATCAATTTTTCTTGCAAATCCAAGACATTAATATCATTAATATATGAATCCAATTGTTTCCAACAACTCTTGGAGTTTGTTTCCTCATGGGATCTCTTGCAGGTTTGACACCCCACACCTTTCAGCAGTGCTGCCGCCGCCCAGTCGTGCTGCTGTGGCTGCATTGGGTTTCTGACGGAAAACCCTCTATAACATCTCTAATCCAATCCTCAAACAGGGCTGAAAGCTTTTGGACCTTTGCTAACATGGGCGTTTGATGATGATAAGTATCACCATTTGCACATGTGTGAAGACATGGATAAGGTGGAGATACCCCTAATAATTGTTATAGACTGTATCTCTCTTGGCTTCGGGTGCATGTTTGGGGCTTCATTTTTTGGGTAAGTTGCATTGCCACATGTCATAAATCTCATGCTCAACAATCCAATTTTTTGATACAGATGGCTGCAGTATATTGGCCGGTTTTAAAGATATAGCACGGCATCAGTGCATCAATGTCACTTAAGTTCCATGTTCTTGGATTATTTCAGGCTTACCCTCCGGTAAACGTTTACAGAACGAACTGGAAAGATCCACCATGTTTACTGGGAAAATCCACAATAGCTATGGCTATGTTTGTTTACCAGAAGGTATCTCACCGAGACTAGCTCAGCACCCAAGGCTTCCACGTCGGCCAGTTCGGGACGAAGTCCCAGGGCTGAGGACTACTTGAAGCGGATGCAGCAGGTGGGCCAGGCGCATCAACAACAACTGCAGATCCTAGAGAAACACTGGGTATCTTGGGCTGAGATCTTTGATGTTTCAATTTGTAACATTTGTTCCCCACCTGCCAGGTGAGGGTTGTTAGATTTTATCACAGTTGTTCTCCTCCTCCGTCTCCTCCTCCTCCTCATCCTCCACCTCCTTCTCCTCCTCCTCCCTCTCCTCCGGCTTCTCCTCCACCACCTTTGCATCCACTTCCATGTCCACTTCCGCCTTGCCAACTCTTCGCCAACTTCCGCATGCAGTGGGCACTGCTGGACCTCAACTGCCGTCCGCTTTGCCAACTCTTCGCCAACTTCCGCATGCAGTGGGCACTGCTGGACCTCAACTGCCGGCGTGCGATAGGAGTGGGCACCGGTGGACCTCAACCTGGGGCCTTCCGAGCTCAGTGAGCACCGCTGGACCTCAACCTGGGACCTTCCGAGCTCAGTGAGGACCGCTGGACCTCAACCTGGGACCCTCCGAGCTCAGTGAGCAGCGCTGGACCTCAACCTGGGACCCTCCGAGCTCAGTGAGCACCGCTGGACCTCAACCTGGGACCCTCCGGGCTCAGTGAGCACCGCTGGACCTCAACCTGGGACCCAGAGGTATGCCAGATAAAGTGCCAGACTGTTTGCCAGGTAGAACGCCAGAAGATTTGCCAGATAGAATGTCAGAAGCTATGCCAGAAGATATGCCAGATAGAGTGCCAGAAGATATGCCAGAAGATATGAAAGGTAGAATGCCAGAAGATATGCCAGATAAAATGCCAGAAGATATGCCAGAAAGAATGCCAGAAGGTATGCCAGATAGAATGTCAGATAGAATGCCAGAAGGTATGCCAGATAAAGTGCCGAAATGTTTGCCAGAAAATATGCGAGAAGATTTGCCAGATAGAGTGCCAGATAGAATGTCATAAGATATGCCAGAAGATATGTCAGAATATATGCCAGAAGATATGTCAGATAGAATGCCAGAAGATATGTCAGAATATATGCCAGAAGATATGCCAGATAGAATGCCAGAAGATATGCCAGATAGAATGCCAGAAGGTATGCCAGATAAAGTGCCGGAATGTTTGCCAGAAAATATGCGAGAAGATTTGCCAGATAGAATGTCAGAAGATATGCCAGAAGATATGCCAGATAGAGTGCCAAAAGATATGCCAGAACATATTGCAGAAGATATGCCAGGTAGAATGCCAGAAGATATGCCAGATAGAATGCCAGAAGATATGCCAGATAACATGCTAGAAGATATGTCAGATAGAATGCCAGAAGATTTGCCAGTAACAAAACGTGTAGATGTCATGGTGGGGATAACTCGAAGTAAAGTAATTTGTTGGTATTTGGATGTAAGTATTTGGTTAGTTATTAGTGGGGATGACGTTTTATTTGTAGCAGAGTTAACGTGGCAACCCACTGGTTTTAGGAGAGGGACTCGTTGGGGTCCTTTTGGATGTTTGCCACTGCTTTGGAGCCTATTGCTGTCACCAGGATTTGATGCAAGACTTTGAGAAAGGCAAGTTGGAATCCTTTAAACAGGAGCACGCAGTGCTGAAAGAGAAGCAGCTGCGCTTGTTGAAAGAGGTGGGTATAGCAAAACATGTAGTACTGATGATGGTATTTGATCTTTTGTTGGAACGGACTTTAAAATAAGTGAGGGGACATGACATGGGAGGACTATGTTTTTACTTCGGCCAATCCCCAGGTGGAGACTCAGCTACAGGAGCTTTCAGGCAGTCCCGCGCCCGAAAAACAACAGGAGGTGACCTTCGGCGAAGCGCCACAGCCGCAGCCGGTGCCAACCGCCACCAGGGCCCCACCGCGGAAGGTGCGTGTGGAAACGGGGCGGGCCTTGGTGCTCGGGGCTGCTGGGCTGTTGGGCCGCGAAATCTTCAAGAACTGCAGGGGCAAATGGGAACTGAGGGGCATCTGCAGCAGCAGATGTCCCAAATCATTGAGAGATGGCTCATCTTGGGCTGGTGAGGTGGTGGATGGGCCCATCTTGGAGGTGTTGGAAGGGCACTTGAAGGATTTCAAACCACAGGTGGTGCTTCACCTTTGTGGCACGGAAATCGGACAGAAAGATGGGTTGGATGGAGCCAACTCAGTGGGTTTTAAGACGTTCGCTGCAGACACCCGGGCAATTGCCTCCGCCTGCGAAGCTCATGGGGTGTGGCTCATTCACTTGAGTTCTGATGCAGTGTTTAATGGCTTGGCGTCGCCATACACGGTGAATGCAGAGCCAACCCCAGTTCCTTTTTTTTGATCAAAAAGTGATGTATTTTATACTTTCAGGATCTTGCGGGTTATGTTCCTCTGATCTTTGGATATCTTTGGCATTCCTATAAACATGGATATGTTTTTGCAGCCTGCATAGATTTGATTGCTGTAGCTTAGAACTGTCATGATTGGTACTGTACTTCCAAATCACCACACCTTTTCTCAGGTCACTGATGATGGCGTCGCAAGCCTCCAAGCTGAACAGGAAGTCTTGAGCCATGCTCGCACTGCAGTGCTTCGAGTGCCCAGGTGTTTGTACGGCCCTGTGGAAGACCTGCAGGAATCGCCAGTGACAGGCGGAGTTTTGGTGATTGTAAAATCTGATTGGATACCCATTTTGTGCTGGTGGGTACTGGTAGTTGGGTAATTAATTTACAACAATTGCGGACTCAGTTGCAGATGGTAAAGGTCATGTACTATCGTTACTTGTAGATGTCACTTGAAAAATTGCCATGGTCTTGTTCACCTTGATGTTTCTGAAAGATGCCACACCAAGAGCATGAACCCCCCAAAATGGATCAATCATAAAAATGATGGTTTAATACCAAAATAACCCATCTTCTATCTAGGCCAACTTAAACCCAAGTTTTGGCCCCTACCCCTACCCTTTCCCATCTGCAGAAACTGTGAGGCGTCCTGGATCAGCTTCGATATGGCAGGGTGGACTTCAACATCCAGCCGTTGTATCCCACCTTCGTGGGCGACGTAGCATCGCTGTTGATGCTGCTGCTGAAACACCTGGTGGACGGTGGTGAACTGCGGGGCATCTACCACTGGCAGGGACCGGATCAGTTGAGTGAGCTGCAAATTGCCAAGGTTTGGTGCGAGGCAGGGCAGGGATACTTTGGGATACTTTGAGGTTTGGGATATAGGGTTGGGTTTGAAGGAAGATGGTTTGATGTTAGATTTCGTGAATTTGCTGTGAGCTGTGAGCTCAACTTGTCACAAAACCTAATGCGGCTGGCTGTATGTCATGGAACTTGACCCAGCTGAATCAAGTCACCAAACACATATGTTTGTTCATGTTCTTTCTCTCAAACCCACCAGAAGTTTCAAGGTTGATCAATGCTTAGTAACGTGATGTCAACTGTTAGTTCTTGACCAAAAGATGCTTGGCCATCCTTTTTTCTGGATCAACCATAGTCCCCTGAGTCATCCAGTTCATCCAGTGTCCCCAGGCCACGGGTGATACCCTTGCAGCATCGCTTCGCCCCCGGCCATCCAAGTGTCAAGCGGATCGAGCCTTGGATATTTCCAGGTTGGCTCGGTCCTTTCCGTTGACGCCCACGAGCTTCAAAGAGGGCCTCCGGAAGTGCCTGGCACCAGGGGAACTGGGCGAACTGGGCGACAGATTGGGGAGAACTGTGGCTGGATCCTTACATTGGGCTGCTGGCTGTAGAGCTGTTGGCGAACAAGTGGTGTAATTCATCAGGTGCCAAAGACACTGCAAAGATTCACGAAAAGAGAGTCGTGTGGAGGGGTAGCATTGGTAGCATTTGAGTTGGCCCAACATTCGAAAGAGGATGGAATGTTGGGCGTTGAGAGCTGGATTGACGTGTTGAGTCCAGACAGCTTGCTGCTCTAAAATTCGCCCCGCAGCAAGCGGCACATCAATGGTGTTTGGTTGATTCATGATTTGTTTTGACAGGTCTCAACATCAACATCAACTGATATCAACTGCGTCCCTGTTCAGCCAAAGAGTATAAAACTGGAGCATGGAGACCACCTGACAAGATACAGTGAGAGCATCCAACAACCAGAACCTGAACATAACATGCCACAATGCAGGCATACTGAGTCATCATCAATTTCCCAAATGTCCACCACTAATTTAGAGCTGGCTTGCTGCAAGTTATTGGCCCCTTTCCGGGCCAACAGAAAAGACCACCATGTCGATCATGGATTTCTTTTCGAGTATCAGCCTCAGAAACATGTCTTGATGGATGATGGGAGTGCTGGAAATTAGACCTACTCACTTGTGCAGCAAAGCCATGTCATGTTCCCGAGTAGGCAGGTGATAGGCGGCATTTACATCAGACTTAGACTTAGAAACTTTGAAATCAATGTTTTTCATCACTATATCTCCCAATGGATCCACATGGGTTCAAAAAAGGATATCCCTGAAAGTAAATCCCAAGTTAGAGTTCAAATCAACTTATCAACACTGAATGATTCCCAAAAAAAAACATGGTCTCCAAAACAATCGATCCTTTGGATCTTCACCACCACCCAGGCCATGGTTCTGCCGCCGGCCCCGCGGCCACGGCACACGAGCGTCCCATGGCCTCGAACACGGCGGCGGCGTCGGCGTCGCCGCACACGGAGCCGAATGCCTTGGCGTCGATGTCCTCGGCAGGAAGGGATGGGGGTTGGGGATGGGTGGGGATGGGTGGTTCATCCCCATTAGTTTAGTGTAGATTAATCATATCCCTTGCACTGGCTAGACTAAACCAGGACACTGAGTTATGGTTTATTTTTTTGAGTTTAATTTAAAAATCTTACGAAAACAGGGGGTGCACCCACCTCCTTAAGATTCTGAAGAAAGTTGAGTTGGTTTAAAGACATGATTAATGTAGATAAAGAGTGAAAGGACCTGCGACATGGAGATTTCTGGGAAGTAAAGATGTCAAGTTGGGGTGGTTCGATTGGTACGAATTGAAGATGGTTGGTCCGCCTCACGAGTTGTTTTTGTGGTTCGAGAAGCTGATTTGTTTTTTGAGTCAAGATGAGTCATTCTGACAAACAGACATTGATACATTGATAAAATTTATCAATGTATCAATGTGTGTTTGTAAAAACAAATCTGAACCATTGACTGGTTGGTGGTTTCAAACATTTTGTTTTCCATAATATATGGGATGTCATCCTTCCCATTGACTTTCATATTTTTCAAGATGGTTATTGCACCACCAACCAGATTGAATTGTGCTAATCACCTTGAAGTAGAGTGAGCTTGAACATGTCCAGATCTCGCGGCAGCATGGGTGCCTATGCCGAAGGAGGTGGCCATGATATGGATGAGAGCCCGCAAGCACTGGACCAATGGAACACAATGGCATCCACCTTGGGGCCGTGGAAATGGTTGGCAAAAACCAGGTATATCCAGTGATTTCAACAGAGAGCAGATGCAGTCATTAGTGATTTTTTGGCTGAAGAAGTGAAAGGATTGATTTTTCTTGGGATGTTTTCAGCTTGTTTGATGCCTCCTTCTCAGGTTGAAAGTGGTTTCATCACTGAGCAGGTTCAGGTCCAAAATGGTTTCGGGTGGGACTGGTTGGTGATTTGGGTCACTGGTTTGAGGCTTCATCTGGATTACCCTCTGGTAAACTAACAGAACTATGAAAAATCACAATTTCTAATGGAACAACTCACTATAAATGGCCATTTTCAATAGCTATATGTTAAATTACCAAGAGGGTACTGGTTTGAGGCTTCATCTGGATTTTAATTGGTTCCCACGGAAAAATGAACCCAAGAAACTCTGAAAAATCTGTGCGGAGCGCAGAAAACACCTTCAAATCAGGTTCGCATCAGCAAACTTCTGGACCTGTCACTGCCTCAGTACCGCTAGGCCCGTGCAGTATCCTGGATGCAGTTTCAGCGATTTCAAGTGGAAAGTTGTCGTAGTATACCAGCACCCAGCCCACCAAAAGTTCCGAAAAGTTCACTGACCCACTCGAAAAACAGTTCCGAAAACCTCAGTTACATCTATCCGATTCCATTTTCTTTAGATTAAGTGATTATCTTCGAGGTTTCAACATCTTTGAATCCAACATCATCCACCCATGCTTTGGCATGTTTCACCTTCATGCACCGTGCCTTGTCATGTCAGGCCCCGGCGTTTCGAGGGAGGTCGTCCTGTCCCTTACCAGATCTTAGCCTCTGATGATGAGAGGGTCCTGGGACGGCTCTCCAGGTACCTTGGGGCTGATCTTGGCTGATTGGGCTGGGAGATCTGGGAGGGGTGAAGGAAGCAGCGATAGAAAAACAACAAAGAAATCCTTGGAAAACAGCAGCGTCATTGAACAGTTACAAGAAAAAGTGAGTGATACATCATATAGCAGAGAGAGGTCATAGGTCATCTTATCAGACGACTGCTGTTTCGCCACTATATGTGAGAAATAGGATGGAACATGCAGTGATTTCATAACTTACAGAGGTTGGGCTATGAACCCAATTCATCTTGGTTCTCAATCCTGGGCATCTGCAGCATCCTGATCCACACTTCAGGTTGGGTGGTGTAGCCCCGGCAGAGCAGAAGAAGGACCCTGGCAGGGATGGTTCTGTTTGAACTTTTTGCTGGCTGAATATCCCAAGTTATACATATAGTTATACAGTTTTATACATACAGTTATACAGAGTTATACATTAAACTCATCAAATCAATCGAATCCTTGGACCGGACCCGGCATACGACACACATCATGTGGGATTGGGATGGTTCAATATGTGGCACCAGCAACTTGGGACGCTTTGGTCAGTGTGTAACTCAGATCTTTTTGGATGCAATGGGATCATCAAATGGGGGATGCAATGTCACGGACATTGACCTTTCCTCCAATAAAGATAACATAAGATAAACCCTACCATTCATGGGGTTGGAGTTGAAAGACTACTTGCCTCTAGAATTGGGCGATTCTCTGGCTGAGGCTGTTTGTTGAGAGACTGGTAACTCACTAGCATCATCTGGGTGTAGAGCTTGAAGTTTTACGTGTGAGGCCCAAGACGTCCTGATCTGCAAAGATTGCAACTCCAGACCAGATCATAGCCTCATCCCCGCAAGCACAAAGGGTACGGGTGAGCGATTCTAAATTCTGTAAGTGTGTGTGTGTGTGCCCCTTCTTTTACCGCAGTTTCCTTCCCACACGTTTTTTTTTGGGTCCGTCATGATTGTTTGCGGTCCACACTTGGAGAAACCGTTGATATGATTCATCCCTAGAAGATACACTCCCGATACCGGCAAAGCCCGGTGTCCCTCACGGAGGTTGAACAGATGTCCACCAGTGCTCCTACCAGTTGTGCCGGCTATGTGGTGCCCAATAGTGACTCAGACCTGATTGATCTTCATGTACTACGGCTGAATGGTGAAGGGCTTATGTTGAAACTTAGTTCTTGCTCTTTGGGTTGCGAAGTACATCAGCTGGTCTCAAAGCAGTTTCAACCAAAGAAAGGCGAACAACTCACCTTGCAGTACCTTGGTGCGCAGCTCATGCTCCATCAAACACTGCAAGAGCAAGGCATTGTGAGCAAAGAAGAGACACTCTCTTGCACTTCTGTTCCAACAGATTTGTATGCAGCCTGGTGTTTCATCCAGAGGCAAGGATCTCCAGTCCCTGCGGGAGAGTTTGTTCTACAGGGGATCACGCAGATCGTAGGTGCATCTACTGTACAGTTTGACCTGCCAAGGAATCTTCAGATCTTGACATTCCGCCATAACTTCAACCAGAGCCTGAAAGGAGTGAACCTGCCAAGCAATCTCCAGAGCTTGAGATTCGGGATTGACTTCAACCAGAGCCTAGAAGGAGTGAACCTGCCAAGCAATCTTCAGAGCTTGACATTCGGCGGTAGCTTCAACCAGAGCCTGGAAGGAGTGAACCTGCCAAGCAATCTTCGGAGCTTGACATTCGGCCGTGACTTCAACCAGAGCCTGGAAGGAGTGAACCTGCCAAGCAATCTTCAGAGCTTGACATTCGGCGGTAGCTTCAACCAGAGCCTGGAAGGAGTGAACCTGCCAAGCAATCTTCAGAGCTTGACATTCGGCGGTAGCTTCAACCAGGGCCTGGAAGGAGTGAACCTGCCAAGCAATCTTCAGAGCTTGACATTCGGGTATTACTTCGACCAGAGCCTGGAAGGAGTGAACCTGCCAAGCAAATCTTCAGAGCTTGACATTCGGCGATAGTTTCAACCAGAGCCTGGAAGGAGTGAACCTGCCAAGCAATCTTCAGAGCTTGACATTCGGGTATTACTTCGACCAGAGCCTGGAAGGAGTGAACCTGCCAAGCAATCTTCAGAGCTTGACATTCGGGGATTACTTCGACCAGAGCCTGGAAGGAGTGAACCTGCCAAGCAATCTTCAGAGCTTGACATTCGGGTACTACTTCGACCAGAGCCTGGAAGGAGTGAAGCTGCCAAGCAATCTTCAGAGCCTGACATTCGGCCGTGACTTCAACCAGAGCCTGGAAGGAGTGAACCTGTCAAGCAATCTTCAGAGCTTGACATTCGGTGGTAGCTTCAACCAGAGCCTGGAAGGAGTGAACCTGCCAAGCAATCTTCAGAGCTTGACCTTCGGCCCTGATTTCAACCAGAGCCTGGCAGGAGTGAACCTGCCAAGCAATCTTCAGAGCTTGACATTCGGCGATAGTTTCAACCAGAGCCTGGAAGGAGTGAACCTGCCAAGCAATCTTCAGAGCTTGACATTCGGCCCTGATTTCAACCAGAGCCTGGCAGGAGTGAATCTGCCAAGCAATCTTCAGAGCTTGACATTCGGCGGTAGCTTCAACCAGGGACTGGAAGGAGTGAACCTGCCAATCAATCTTCAGAGCTTGACATTCGGTGATGACTTCAACCAGAGCCTGGAAGGAGTGAACCTGCCAAGCAACCTTCAGAGCCTGACATTCGGCCGTGACTTCAACCAGAGCCTGGAAGGAGTGAACCTGCCAAGCAATCTTCAGAGCTTGACATTCGGGGATTACTTCGACCAGAGCCTGGAAGGAGTGAACCTGCCAAGCAATCTTCAGAGCTTGACATTCGGGGATAGTTTCAACCAGAGCCTGGAAGGAGTGAACCTGCCAAGCAATCTTCGAAGCTTGACATTGGGCTGGGTGAACCTGCCAAGCAGTCTTCAGAGCTTGTCATTCGTCGTTCTTGGAGGCAATTTTTTGAAGGTTCTCAAAGGCGTGTGCTTGCCGAGCAGTTTGCGTACTTTGAAGATTGGTGGTGCGTTGGTGAGCTGCTTGTGATTCTACTGAGTCGGCATTGTCTGGGCTGGGCTCAAAATATTGCCCGGCAGTTCCGTGTGCGGTATAATTTGGTCTGAAGATCGACAGAATACCATCTCAACGAATTCTCCATTTTGAGTGTGAGGTAGTTCCGAGACTTAGAATTTGTTTGAAACCAATAATATGCATGGTGTTGGATATGATTTCAGTGATTTTATTCACACTGACTTGCAATATGGACCCGCAGGTCGTGGCTCCACAAACCATTCTGCCCTTGAGAAGGGTTTACCAGATATCAGTTGCCCTCCGAATAAGACCAGTGTCTTTATTAGAACAGTGGTTCCTTAAATCATTAAATTATACATGTCCAGCTTCTTGTTGTTCATTTCATCTTAGTCATGTCACTCGAACACTGAAGATAAGTAAATTGTCGCCATAAAAAAAAAACACGGCAGTTGATACGGCAGGAGACTGTGGATCTGATGGAAGCAAAGGGCATCATGAACCTGAAGACAAGCCAAAGCCTCAGTGGAAACCTAACAGTGAAGCCTTGCAGCAACCATTCCAGTAACCAACCATTTCCTTACCCTCTGGTTATGTCAAAATAGCTATGGAAAATCACCATTTCTAATGGGTAAATCCACTATAAATGGCAATTTTCAATAGCAAACTGTTAAATTACCAGAGGGTATTTCATTTGACCATTTGCCAAAAATAGTTGATAGAAGTTTTGTACTATCTACGGTAGTTGTTGATAATTCGTGTGGACCTAGGAGTTTTCTTTTCCTCTTCGTTATGTGGATGAATTTTGTCATGGTACTTGCATGATGTACCATGACAAAATTGGATACTATGTACATCTAGTAATAATATCCAATTAGTACATCGAACAAATTATTTGATATTCTTAGGGGTTGCTATACTAACTTCGTCTCCTGTCATTCCTGGATAAAAACTGGCTTAAAAGGTAGCGCCATCATCATTCTGGAGCTGCTGTATGAAGATGGTGTGGCCATCGCCAGCTGCTCATTAAGCAGGACATGATGTACCCTCTGGTTATGTCAAAATAGCTATTGAAAATGATGATTTATAGTGGATTTTCCCATTAAAAATTGTGATTTTCCCATCAGTTATGCTGTTTACCAGAGGGTACATGGGAAAGTGGCACTTCGAATAGTGGAAACTCGTGGAAATTGCTCAGCAAAATTTGGGGGTATAGCTAGCATTAAAATCATTAACCAACCATTTTATCGGAATATCATGGGAGATCATGGAATATATTAATATAATCAACAATATTAAATTATTCAATAAACAATAAATATTGATATATACGGTCCTTTTCCGCTTAGCGGAGTTGTATCTTACTCGCCTTTAGCCGAACTCCTTGAGAAGGAGATGGAAAGAGATCCCCTCAAATTTGGGGTTGATCTAGCTTCATACCCTATATGGTGGGGACACCTGGGAATGTTACGAACCATGGTCGAAGAAAAAAAATCCTGAGAAATCCATCATTTTAGCTGGATAGCTGGGATACCCTCTGGTTATGACTAACATAGCCATGGTATAGCTGGCCCATTTATGGATGGTTTGCCGTTCTTAAAGATGGTGATTTTCCATGGCTATGTCAGTCATAACCAGAGGGTAGGTCTTTTGCACCCCCGCAACGAATTTTTTCTAAAGATCGATGAAGATCTGCAGGATGGATCCCAGATCTGCCAAGAAAAACACGTACGGCGTGGAAGATCAACGCAGCGCCAGTGCTATTTGTGGCGTCGGAACCTGAAATCTTTGGGCGGTGTGACCCATCGATGCTACCCTCTGGTAAACGTTTACATAACTATGGAAAGACTCACCATTTTCAATGGCTAAATCCACTATTTCTATGGGTCATTTTCAATAGCAAACTGTTAGTCATTACCAGAGGCTACCGATGATGGAAGTAACAAACGCGCCGCTTACACTGCTTGACTCAGTCAGGCTGAATTTGCCGTGGATATCTGTGGATATAACCACCTTTATAACTGCTTAACTTCAATTTAAAAGAACACCTGATGTTTGCCAAATCGGCATGAACTTAAGAACCTGAAGCTGGAGTTCATCACACCCACATCGATATTGTGCGTATGTGTCTTCATCACCTTCCCACCATTTCATGTTTCATCCAGCACTTCTCAGCGCGCAACAGGTGGAGTTGACCATCTTCGAAGGTCGCCAGGACCTTCCCGAGGACTTGGCCCAGACTCAGCTGCCCTCAGCGGCATCCATTGGATCATCCATCCACCAGCCCACCAGGCAGCGCGGCACGATGCCCACGATGCCACCCGACATCCCACCAGCCACCCCCAGTGGCCCCAGTGGCCCCGTCCGACGCCGGAGTGCTGCACCCATGGCCCCTGAGACGCCACCGGTGGGATTTCCACCTGGGGCTGGCGAGGTGGGAATGGAGGGAAATGGAGGGACATGCTTTTGGGATGTGGGAGAACAGACTGTGAAACTTCGGGTTTTTGGGGCCTCAGAATTCCACCAGGCACCACCTCCCAGCAAGGCCGCTGGGCGCTCAGTTGGGGCAAGAACTTAAAAATTGCTGGGGGATGGGAGCTTCCACTTGAAAGTGATATATACAATCCCCAATAAAACTCTGTTTAGTATTATAGATCTATATATTCAATTTTAAGTTTCTTATTGGGGTATTTGATATAATAGGTGGATAGGATTAAATCATCATTGGCATAGACTTAGACAGGTTTTTCCGATGGGCTGCGATTTGTTGGGGAATTCAAGGGAATGATGACAAACGTGAGTGAGATCCTATTAATGTCGCTCATCTTTCACCTGGTGGTTTCAAAAACATAGTCAGTTATTTTTAATGCCTTTTTGGAATGACCATCCCCCTAATATGATTGTCCAACATTTTTTAGGGATTCCAGCACCAAGCCGTGTTGCACGCTCAGGCGATGCCCGCCCCGAGTTTTTCGCTGGGTTGCTGGCTCAGTGGAGAGTGGTGTATTGTGGAGAAAAACGCATGTGTCAAAACCCCTATGGATGAAGAATGAACATCGTTGTTTTGACCCAAGACGCTAGGCTATTTCAATCTATTTCAGACTTTGTTCTTGGTCATGTTACATGTTCTTTTTTTTTAACCTCATACCTCACCATTGCATTCAAAGTTCCAAGTTGTTCTTGGTAGATGTGGTACGAATCTTCTGAATGATTCTTATGACAATTGTGGGGCACCATCAAAACTGCATCAAGATGACAACAACTGACCCCATTACCGTTGCATGAGGCCCCAGTGGCGCGCCACCCCACGCGGCGGTGCCGGCACCGCCGCCGGTGAATTGGATGCCGGCGCCGGTGAACCGGATGGGCGGAGCATGTGGAGCGAGCTGCCCAGCTCCCATTGGACGGGAGCTGACACTGCAGGCGCAGGGGATGGAAATCGATGGGATCTGATGCGATTTATGAGTTGTTGTATGTTGTATGTTGTATGTTTTTTTTGGGTTCTCCTGTTTAAAAAAAACCTGAAATCCCTGAAAGAGAATGACATCAACTCTGGCTATGCCATGGTCGTTTGGGAATCTGACTCAGAAGATCTATAACAAAGTTAGGCGTCGTAGATTAGCCCTTGACAAAGTTGTTGGGTGCATTGGCTTCGCAGGTGACGCAGTTGATGGATATGCCCAGCCGCCAGGGACAACGCTATGTGGTGACAGACCCAGCAGATGAGGGTGGCCCATGATCGTTGGAGAGTTTGGTTGGAAGTCAGCACTTCAGCACCGATTTTTTTGAAGAAAGGCTTCATTAATAAGCATCCCAAATCCTAAACGTCAATCCCTTGCGGAAATGAGTGGAACAACAACTATTAAATGTAAATGTTCAGTTGTTTTCGGCACATCTCATCATTTTCTAGGCGAGTTCTCCACGAAAAAATGTTTGAATTCAACCAAGAATCCGGCCCTGGCTGCAGCCCTTCCGAGGTTCGCGTGCTTGACAACGTGGGGCAGCTAGCAGCCACGAAGCAGGCAAGGAAACCATGGATTTTCCCGAGCCAAAATGGCGGAAAATCGGATAAAATGGGTCCTCCAAGCCAAATTCTGCAGAAATTCTGGAAATTCTTGATCTTCAAAGTTCTTTGGCAAATCCAGATTTGAACATGTGCAGTCCTAGGTCCTAGTGACAGCCCCATTGGTTTTTTGGCCACCTGGCAGGTGGGTGATCCTTTTGCCACCTATGCGCAGACGGTGCTCATTAAGACGGACGGCATCCTGCCGCTGCGAACGGAGCCGAGTCCTGGAACTGCGGCTGTGGGGGGATGGGTTGGGATTTCGGAGACAAAAATCAAGTACCCTTTGGTTATGTCAAAATAGCTATTGAACATGGCCCATGTATAATTACAGTTGATTTTCCATAATATATATATATATATAAACGTTTATCAGATGGTACCATATTTGGATTCATATCCTGTTGCTGAGGATGATTTTGTGGTGGAAATAGATCGCCTACAAACTGATCAAGCTTATTTGCCTGGAAGGTGTGAAGTAGGAAACTTGAGAAAGTGGCCATGTAGCCACCTTTGGTGCTATGTTGTCTCATCAGATATGTGACTGGTAGGCCCACAGAGGCCAGAGTAACAGAACATCCTGGAGACTTTGCCCCGAACTGCGCCCCTCAATGTCACCCAAAGTCACTTCATTAGCATCATAAAACCAGCAGCAGTGCCTCACAGGGCTATGATTTCATGATTTTTTTCCATGTCAACTCCACATGTCTCCAGACCGAACAAAACATGAAAAAACTTGGGTGACCTGGACCTCAACTTGAAAGCGACATGTCAGCTGGGGAGGAGTCCTACTTCTTGACAGTGCAAGTGGATTATGCAGATGGCAACACTATTGGGTCAAAGCCCCGATAGCGTGATGTGAGATCGAAAACGGTTACCCTCTGGTAAACTAACATAGCTATGGAAAATCCCCATCTTTAATAGGTAAATCAACTATAAATGGACCATGTTCAATGGCTATTTTGACATAACCAGAGGGTATGCCCGGTTATGCTGGTCACCATGTGGCCGATGTTGAAGTCCCATATTCGGTGCTGAGTCGGGCTCTGGGATGCATGCTGGGGGGTGTCACCTGCAACCATGTTGTGGTTTTCAGATGTGCTTCCTCAACGTGTATTTTCTTCGGAAAAAAATCACCATGGTAAAGTATGAACAGCACTGAAACTGGTGTAATTACTGTAATTGAAACATGAGAAGACAATCCAATGACATCCAATGACCGCCCTTAGGGCTGCCATCTCAAAAAACATCCCATCACTATGTAAGACCCTTGGATCAATCCACCTTGTAGGGTCTCACCATCCCAGTCTGCTGAGGTCATGTCAGATCTTTCGTCCAGACCCACGGTCTGAGAAGAGTTCACGTTACCTGCTGACGGACGGGGCTCCGCTTGAGGGGCTCTGGACTTGGGAAGCCCCCAAAATGGAACAAGTTCCATTGCTACTATGATTTTGATATCACTAGTTATGATTCGATTCTGAAACGATTAGTACGAGTCGTCATTATGCCGGATACTGCATATATTTGCATATGTTTGCATATTGCTAACATTCATTTATATAAGTTATCATCAATAATTCATCATCCCAGCTTTCTGAGTGTTTTTGCCATGTTTGTTGGTGCTGCCTTGCAGGATGCCGCCGGGCAATCTGCCAACTGCGGCATTGAACTGCAGGTGTTTGAAGGGAAAAAGGCTCAGGCGCCTGGTGTTGATGGTGGTGGAAGGGAAGCTGGGGATTTACGATACCCTCAGGTAATCCCCGAAGTAAATGGCGGTTTATAGTCGTTGACTTCACTTGGAAATTCATATGATCTGTATGTGGTGATTGAATTTCCAAGAAATAGATGTATGTAGATGTATGGATTGTTTGATGGAATCCAGAAAAATAATGAACATGATAAGATGCCACAATCAAACGAGGGTCCTTTCATTTTTTAGATTCTAGATGAGTTTCTAGTGGTATTCGATGTTTTTCTTCTCTGTTGAAGATCTGACATTTCAAGAGAACTGGCGTACAATGGGGATGCTCGTGAAGTATGAACAAAAATGAGACCTGGAATCTGGCCTTTTGCAATCCATGGCTTTGGTGATTTTTTCCAGAGGGAACATAGCCTAGCAATAACATGGTTGCTGAATCTGTGCAGGTGCATGCCCGCATGGGAGCGAACCTCGACTCTGGGATGCGGGTCGCTGTTACCCCAGAGGGATGGACTTGGAGGAGTTGATTGGGCCATTTTTGAGGGCGGCATATCCCAGTGATCTATTGAGTTAGCCTAGTCCCAATCAAAATACTGTAATTACCCTCTGGTTATTTAACATAGCCATGGAAAATCCCTTATAAATTAGGGTTTGAATGGGAAAATCATCTATTTCTATGGGCCATTTTCCATGGCTATGTTAGTCATAACCAGAGGGTAAATGGACATGGATGGACATGGTATATGTTTAAACAAATCAGGACGCAGCCGTATTGTCACTATCCCTGTGTTTGCCAAGCTGGTGCTGTCTTAGCCACACTGATTGGGGGCCTCCACCACTGAGTAGACATGATTTCATGGTTCAACCATGTCAAAAACTGGGCCACCATGGGCTTTTATCAAAGGTTGACGGGTTGCAGATGTGGCAGTCTTTTGAGCATCGCGCTTTTGGCTCGCAACTGAAAAAATTACTACAGGCGCTGTGCAAATACTGCAGCGGCCTATTCGCTGGTTCATTGCAAATCAGCATGCCCTGATTACCAACCGTACCAGCACACAACTTGACATGTTTTCCCCTGATTTGTTGATCAAATTACGTCAAATTACCAATCTCCTTCACAAACTGAAGCTGTTGGAGAACAGTGGTCCAGTGGTCATGCCATGGGGTGTACCCAAGGCAACGTTCGAAAGCACGCGGGTGTCAAAGACCTGCGTCGGACTTACCAGGGCAGCGTCTCAGTTCGAAATGATTTGGAGGAAACGATCCGGATCCGATTCGCTGAACCCAATTTGCTGGGTTCAACTCTGCTGAACACTCAAGTGGCACCTGGAGATACGTTCGAATTCCAACCTGGTGAAACTTGGAACTTTGATTTTCACACCACCATAGGAGACAAACTTCGAGCACATGTGCTACGTGGTGCATCATACGCAGTCAGCAAAACAGAGGATGGTGCCATGAAGATGCAGACCTTATCGCGACCTGAACGAAATCGAAGTGATAAACTTTCCAAAGTGAAGGGTTTATCCTTTAGCTTCTCAGCATCTGGTTGGCTGGTGATTTATCAACTTGGAACAGCTGAGTGCTTGCAGAATCATGGCTACTTGGCCCTGCACATGTAGAAATGCCAATCATTTCTCGGCTTGTGCAACATCCAGTTCAACTGGATAATTCCCAACCCATTCAATTTTGTTAGCCAGTGCCCCCTGGTAATTTAACATAACGAAGTGGAAAAATGGTGATGTTCCATAGTTATGTTAGTTTACCGGAGGGTAATGGATTGACTACTATGGAATTACATCTTCTAACCAAATTCCTGAAGCTTTTAAACAATTATATACAACGTTTTTATTTCAAGCCTACGAGGCATTGCCAAGAATCCCTACGTTCGCGTCTCTGGAGCCTCTGGGGGTGCTTTTACAGCTGCATTGATGATGTATGATGCAGATTTGCGGAAAGTGGTTGATGTACTGCTGGGCTCAGCTGGACGTTGCTGAGAAGCACTAGTGATTGGCAATGTGTTGCCCCTCAACTCACTGATAGGTCTTCAAATGTGTTCATTCTGATTTTCCACCAGTCTAAGTACATCTAATATGTGCTAATATATTCAAATATATTAGAATATATCATTTGGTTATGAGTTGATCACACCCAACTACTCCTCTTATTCTTATAAAGTTGATGTATAGTTGATGTTTCTGATCGTTCAACTCTGCCCCTGGGGAATTGCAGCCCAGGTTTACATCGCTCTCCCGAGAAGGCCTTTCTGCTGCGGAACTTCGTCCTACAGGCCATGCAGGAAGTGATCCGCGATGGCAGCTATCAGCACCCCTTCTTCGAATCACAGCGATGTGAAATCGTGGTCTCATCCACGTCCAGCCCAGGTGTTTGGAGATGTTTGGTGATGTTTGGATGGTTTTGGATGGTTTTGGATGGTTTTGGATGGCTTTGGATGTTTGATGATCTTTGATGTGGGTAGATCATTTTTAGATCTATTTTCAGGATGTGGACATTTGGCTGGTTCTTGAGAACACGTTGAACTGACAGAGTTGACTTTCTTGGAAGTTAGGAGAATGAAGACAACAAGTTTTGATGGACTCGCCCGAGGCATGCTGTGGACGTTAGGTGAAGGGGCATGACGGAATAACATAGAATAACATAGCTTCCTGCGGCCATAGAGCTTGGTCATTTCCAGAATTCACAATCCAATTCAATCCAATTCCTGGGTAATGTCGACCCTGGATGTTTTTCAGCCCTGGTTGATGAATCGGGGGCGGTACCTTTACCTTCCCAAGGATCAACGTTGCGGGGTCCACATTCATCCAGGGATCCAGCCCCCACCCCGGCAGGAGGTCATCGAGGAGGCTTCGCCAAGATGGTCCTCAGTGGTAAGGAGCGTCCTTCTTTTTGATCGCGCCAAGACATGTGTTTGGAAGATGATGCTAGTATATGCCATGGTAAACAGCCACGTAGCTATAGAAAATCACCATGCTTTTCATGGGTAAATCCACTTTTTCTATGGCCATTTTCAATAGCTACGTTAAATTACCAGAGGGTATATGCTATTTATCTCCATTTATATGCCGTTGTTGGATGAAATAGTGGTTCCAAACTTGAACTCAAGAACAAGTTGGGTAGAGAGTCAAATGCCAGGGTGCCTTGTGACCAGCTTATAATTGGCAGCTTCCAAGACGTTTTCCCCAGTAAGCTGCACATCATCCAAGATCAATTTTTGGGGGAGATGAAAGCACCGCTGTTTGACCATCCCCAGTTCCCAAAATCACAAGGTTTTCTCATGTTTTCTCCATGTCAGGTTCAATTCTCTCTAGTTCAGTATAGGCTCGCCAAAGTTCATCCATATTCCACTTAAAAATAGACTGTAGAGAGAGAGAGAGAGATCAATTCTCAATCTATGCAATCTCCAAATCCATGCTCAGAAAATCGCCTCTCCCCCTAAAACCCACACCCAACAGCTCCAGCCATGTTTTGAGTGTTTCCTATCTCCCCAATGTTTCACCGAGGAGCACCGCTTGAAGCACTTCACCAGCTCTGCGGACATCGCCGTGGCGTTGTTGGCCTCTGCAACTTGTGGTATCAGCGGCTTGCCCTTCAAGTTCCGTGACGAGGAAGGACAAGAACAGACCGTGGCGGATGGTGCCGCGCTGGGACCGGGGACCCCGCGGGGACCGGGGATGGCCAAGGGGCGGCCTAAAGTTTTAAGGGAGCCTAGAAGATGTAGAAATGAAGATCAAGATGAAAATGGACAGAATTTGACAGAATCAATAAGAATCCGGGAAGATCTGTTGTTGGAAGATTTAATATTATGGATTTTGGGAGTGTAACTGTTGAAAGGATGAATCAAGGAGGGCGGGAGCTAGAAAATGAGGATACAAGTACTTGGAAATTGATTGGTGGTGCATGGATTGGGACTGCTATGTCGATAGTTGGAGTCCCAAACCTAAGACACATATAGAATATAGAACAATGTTTCTGGATTTGGTTGTGTTTCTCTATGTTTGGAAATTTCGGACTCGCCTGCAATGCATTCTCAGGTGCTTTCAAGAATTTCCTGCCTCGCATTGACGACCAATCCATTACTGTCAAACCCTTCAGTGATGGCATCGACGTCTTTTCCTTTACCGGGCAGCGCTCTGATGTGGGACCCTCTGAATATGCACCTGGGCATTTGAACATTGCGATTTGAAGACATGTTGTGAAAGTTGACCAGCGGCATTTTCCATCATTTTCCCATGATTTTCCCATGATTTCCCATGTCATTCTTCACCTTCATATCATTTTCCCCCAAACGAATCTTCCAAAATCACCTCCAAAGCCATCTCTTCGCCAAGCCTTCGCCAAGCCTTCGCCCAGGTCCCGATGTCTTTCGGAGTTTTTCCTCCACCCCTGACGTTGCTGGAGCATCTCTATGAGTTGGGCTATCAGGACATGGAGACGTGGCTACAGAATCACCTGGATGAACGTCTCAGTGCCTTGAAGAACGACCAGGAGATGGCTGCATGGCTGCGGTGATCCTGGTGGGATGATATTCATAGGGGGGGATACCCCAATAGCTCGCTGGATGGTTTATTGATGTTTATTTCATGGAAAATTCTATGTTTTAATAGATGATTTGGAGGCACCCCCATTTCACGAAACCTCCATATATGATATTCAGCTGATGTAGTTCAATGGATCTAGATGGATCTAGATTGGTTGGCATGTTGATGGCTAGATCCAACGTCATTTGCACCAAATATTCCCTTCCTAGGTGTTCATGATATGTTTCAGGACATTCCATGACTTGAACCACTCAGTCACTGCAGGAGGATCTTCCAGAGCCGGACTTCAAGTGCCCCAATGATGGCATGCTGTGGCACAAGGAGGTTTTGCAAAGGGTGCCAGTGAAATGGGCTGACATGCTCCACTCTAAAAATTTCCTGGCCACCAATGAGCCAAAGATCTTGAACGAAGGCGCGAGCGATTTTGGAAAGACAGTTGCCATGGCGTTTTTTTTCAAAGAAAAACTGAGAGGTTGGGATACCCTCAGGTAATCTAAGGTAGCTATGGAAATCATTTTGCTACCCAGAACGATCTTTCTTGTTCAACGGATACTAGATCCATTGAATTGACATTCGGATGTATGTATGTATATAATATATGCATGTATGTATGTATGTATGTATGTACGTATGTATGTATGTATGTATGTATGTGTGTGTGTGCGGTACATGACTCCATATTTGTGGGCTACACAGTTAGATGGGTTATAGACCAATTTATACCCTGAGGTATAAAGTAACAAACACATGTGGAAAATCCATGGAAAACGCATGGTCACCTGGAAAAAATGATCTACTAAATAGTTGGTGTTGTTTCATGGTTTTTCAGAGTTTCTCACGTTTTTTTCATCTTTTTGTCCATGTTTTTTTCATGATTTGTCCACATCTTTTCGCATCCGGATGGAAACTGCCGGGCTCCTGAGGCACCTTAGAGATCCGGGCCTTCCGACCACTCCACCCAGACGCCTCGCGATTGGTGGAGATCGCGGTGAAACGTTGGGTGGTGCCACTGGGCAGGATCTGCTGGGTTATTTTGGACCAAAAAAATTGGGATATTCATGAAAATTATAGGGAGATCAATGGGATATAGTGGGATATGTTTTGACCATTGAAAAAGGGCATTTGATAGGACGTTCATGAAGATGAATGGGAGAGAGAGAGAGAGACTATATATATATATGATATATGATATAAATATGTTTATAGTAAGATATTTAGCGAAATATATTTAATTTGACTGTGTCTGAACATGATAGATACTCCAATTTATAGTCAGACTAGATGGATGGCCTTTCAACGTTGTGAATGATGTCAATTGAAGGATCATTTTCCCACTATAGCGGTACCCTCTGGTAAACTAACATAGCTATTGAAAATTGCCATTTATAGTGGATTTACCCATAAAAAATGGTGATTTTCCATTGTTATGTTAGTTTACCGGAGGGTAAGCCCCATGATAAACCATGCCGTACCCCGTCCGAAGCTTGCATTTACCATTTGCACAGGGGTTTCGTCTACCCTCAAAGGTGTTTTGTATTGATGAGGTGTGACTATTTTTCATGACATGTATGCATCTAGTATGATCCTTCATTCATGATTGAGATAGATACTGTATGTTTTTATTCGATTGTTACCCGTATTTTGATGGTTTTTGTCATGTTTGAAGCGTTTTTGACTGGTGATTTCTTTGTTGATTCCGTTCGGCAGCATCACCCCTGCGGCCTTTCCCATTTTCCCAAGGCTAACAGAGTTGGACTTCCAGTGGCGGGAGAAAGACATCGGCGAGAACACCTCAGAGATCCCAGACGAAAATGGCTGCGGGATGGGTATGATATGGTATGATAGGTGAGCTGATAGAGATGGAAAATGATGGTTATATATGGTTATATAGCTGCTGGTAAACTAACATAGCTATGGAACGAATATGGATCTTTTTTTTGGGAAAATGATGATGATCCTAGACCAAGAGTATGGTTTAGATATGTTTAGATGGCCCATTTAGTTCGTTGAGTTTTACTTCTGAAGATGGTGATTTGCCATATCTATGTTAGTTTACCAGGGGTACCCTCTGTCCAATTAACAGTTGAACTCAATCGGCCCCTGAAAAACCGCAAGTATTGGAAACCGATCATCCAACGCCCTTATTTGGCGGGTCTATGTTAACGGAGGGTAACCAGTGGATGGAATAGGTGTCTCGATATTTCTTCTGTAGACATGTTCATTGCAGTTTCAGCTACCAAAGCCCAGCGGCAGTTTTGCTAGGCTGCAATTTTTTTCAGTTTGACATTGAGTAATTGGTGCACTTCCAGTTTATATTTGTCGACACCTCAGTAACCTGTTTCGTATTTTTGCTGATCAGTGCTTTGCCCTGCACTTTGGCTTAGCAGCATTTGATTTTTTCGATGCTGCTATATATTGCATGCATATGCGGTTGCAAGTTCAGGACGACCAAAGAAGAAGCCCCGAATTCTGAATGGATTTCTGGCTTGGCAGCTGCTGCCGAGCTGAAAACCCTCTTGAGGTTGGAGGGGGAAACGGCTGAGATACTGCCCGAGACCGTTTTGCAAGTGTACCAAGAATGGCGATCTGGGGGATGATAATCCCCATTTACATCCATCCCTGAATTATGGACATTTACAGATCTATTTTAGCGTTAAAACATGTTCAACCCCTCCAAGTCCCGGTTTTTTTCAAGCGAAAAACCTGAGTTTTCCCGGTAAAATCCAGGTCCAAGGGTCGGATCCACCTGTCTTGGATCCAACGGGCCTTTGTGGATGACAAGTGCAACAAGTGCTCGGTGGATATGCCCGAGAGGCATTTCGTCATCAACACGGCGGCCTGGCGACGTTTCCGCCCGTGGGACCCGAAGACCTGGGAGGATGGTCATCTGGATTTTCAGATGACCATGACACACCATGGCCATGCACAAACTGGGAGTACCCTCTGGTTATGTCAACAGTTAGCTATTGAAAATCGCCAGTGAAATAGTGGATTTTCCCATTGAAAATGGTGAGTCTTTCCATAGTTATGTGGATGTTTACCAGAGGGTAGCACATGAAGCAAATTACACATGGGTCTATTATATTCTATATATTATGGTGGATATTGGAAGTTCTTTAAGTTACAGCTGCGGAGACTCTTGCAATTGTTGCCGCTTGTTTGGCCCATTTTGAACTTTCCACTTGTGCACTGGCAATCAGAACCCATCAGCCGGATTCGCAAGGATATTCAATGTTGTTTAATAAATCTTGTTGATAAGCATGACATAGCTGGAGAATCTTTGTTGCGGGCGAATTTGACGTCCACCACATTTTCCAAGGTCAATTATTCCTTGATCTTTGCCGCTATCAATGCAGAAGAGGCAAACAAGTGGGTCTCTGCTCTGAAGCAAGCCCTTCCAGAGGAGACTGCAGCTGCCTCACTGATGGATAAGGAGTGATTCAAATCTCCCATTTTCTCAGTTTTTTCTGAGAGATTTAACCCCACATTTCCGTATGAACAGAATACCCAGCTTCGATTTGTTTCACGACTTTCATTGAGCCCGGCCCTTCGTTAACGGCGCGAAAAGATGGTGACATCCCCTATGATCCCGGAAAGGGGAGGTCATGCTTGAGCCACACTCGAGAGATTGCGGCAGTCAAATGCTACAGGTCAAGCATTTGTCATGGAGTAATTTCATCTTGCCAACAAATAGATAGAGAAAAATCAAGGGTGCAAAGATGTCAATTTCGGAAATATCAATAAGAAACACTATACTTTTCTGTCCAATCTGACAAAGTTGTTGCACTCTCAAAAATCTCGAAATGTACACGGAGTTGTTTCACAGTTGATGATCCAAATGTTGCTGTGCGAGAAAGCAACGTTTTCTCACGGCTTTGATAAAATCAGTTTTTCTTCATGCCGAGGTGTTTTTTTTTCATTTAAAAAGTGGTGCCTTTGATCCGCAAGAATCAAATGTTTAGGCTTCGTTTTTGGCATCTGAAATTCGACCTATTCTTGGGGGTCGCATTGTCAACTCCCCAAGGTGGGTCGTTTACAACTGCGCATCCTGGCGGCCTTTCGCTTGCGTGCGCGGGAGCCAATGGAGCCGAGGGAGCCGAGAGCTGGAGGGCTTGGGTCGGGGTCGGGGGGTGAGTTGATGGTTTTCCAAATCCTGGGCTCATGATTTAATGTGGTGAAATCCATAAAAGGCATTGAAATTGGATTTAATGTCACAAAATTGAAATCACAAAAGTGGTTTTAATATTTTTTTGGGATTGAAATTGGATTAAATTAAATGGTTGAATTGAATGTAGCGCAATGTAGTGCAAAACCAGCCATATCATGCCATATCTAATATACCAAAAATGGATAGACAAGGATGTCAGTCGTCAGCAAAAAATACGTCCCATTATATATGGATCAAAATTCAAAGCCCAGGGGACCACAGATCTTGGTTCATGTTTCACTAGTAAATAAACCATGGGCCATTTATGCCTGAAGTGAGCCCGGATATGCCTGAAGTGAGCCCAGATATGCCCTAAGTGAGCCCAGATATGCCCTAAGTGAGCCAGATATGCCCAAAGTGAGCCCATTTTATGCCCAAAGTGAACCTCGAAAATTTATGCCCTAAGTGAGCCCGAATTTATGCCCAAAGTGAGCCCCTCGCCATAAACCATCCCATTTCTGAAGTGCAAAAAAGTGTTTGTTTCACTAGTAAATAAACCATCCCATTTGTGAAGTGCTTAAGTGATCTTAAGTGTTGACATATGAATGTTGACCTTTAAATGTGTTTTATGTAAGATATTCACATAAGCTTCCTTTGATAATTCGGGGTGCCATTGCCATGCCATGCCATGCTTCTAAACTTCCCTTTGTTGACCAGTCAGTTTGCTCAGGATTTGTCCGGTGCTCCGCACAGGGCCCAGCTTTTATGACAGCTTAGCTATCGGCTGCTGGAGCAAAAAGTGGCCCAAAAAAGGACCTGATGAAAAACTGAGATCATGAACTTATTCATGATATTTTTTTGATAATAATGTGGCAAAACCAATGTGCCAATGATAAACAATCCCCAATTTGGATTTATTGTTGGTTATACCGCAACACCAAGGCCTTCCGCCTTCGTAAAGGCCAAGGTAGGCCAAACTGAGCACAGGCGGCCTGCTGCACTGCTGGGTGTGGCGGAAAATCTTGGGTTTTGAGGTCCAAAAGGATCACGTTTTTTTTGGGGGGGATTCACATGCTAAACCTGGCAGATGAACTATGAAGGAGATGGTATTCAGTTGAAAAAGCAGAGTGTTCTCTCAGTTTTCTATGTCCAGGTGAATTTTATGAGCGGGCAAAACCCCAAGTCATCTATCTAATTGTGAAAGCACCACCTTTGGTAAGCCCATATGAATCCATACAAGTTCTGATCTAAAACCATGGCCAAGAACCGGCTACAGGACCCTGACAGTCGAAAGCAGTCAAGATCCCATTTGGAGCACCAGCAACTTGTGTCCTGCTCAGCTTCGGTTTTGTTAGCTGAAATGATCAGCTGGCGGTTGCTGAAAACTTGGATAACAGCAGATTCCACAACTGGATGTTTTCCCTTTTGGTTGGTGAAATTTGTGATATCTTGTGATTTTGTGGTGTCAGATGGGGTACTGTTGGGAGAAACATCTCCATATTGACATGTGAGTCTCTGAGGTTTACTTTTCCTGTCACTGCCATGGACGGAGAGTTGGAAATGGAGGATCGGAGGGGTTTTTGTTGCTCTGGAGTTAACCTTCCTGGAACAGCTAACTCAACTTCAACATACTCAAGATCTTGGTTTGCACTTTGCACTTAGTGTTTTTGGGTTGCTTTGTTTCATATTATTTCAGTTCTTTATTATTATGGTTTACTGCTTGGTGGTTTCAAACATTTTTTCCCCATAATACATGGGATGTCATCCTTCCCATCGACTTTCATATTTTTCAGAGGGGTAGGTATACCACCAACCAGTTTTTATTGGACACCTCCATTTATAATGGGATTTTCCATAGCTATGTTAAATAACCAGATGGTATGATGTTTATTGACCCAATACCCTCTGGTAATTTCACATAGCTATTGAACATGGCCCATAGAAATAGCTGATTTACCGTTCTTGAAGATGGTGATTTTCCAGTTCGCAAACTGTTAGTTTCCCAGAGGGCCAGAGGGTACCCTCTGGGAAACTAACATAACTATGGAAAATCACCATTTTCAATGGGACAACTCACTATAAATGGCCATTTTCAATAGCTATTTTGACATAACCAGAGGGTAGATGGGGTTCCAGGCTGCCAGCGGCTTGGCACCGCGCAGGTCGTGAACTCATCGGTGAATTCCACGGAAGTCCTGGGCACGTTGAGTCCGGAGCCCAGGGGTGGGACTGGGACAGCGTACTTCTTCGTGGTGAATCGTTACTTTTTGGACGATTTACTTGGAAATCTTGGAAGATTTTTGATGTTTTAATGGAAGATGCATTAAAAAAATATCGGAAATGATACCTGGTCATAATAGATCCAAGTATATCCCAGTCAAGAATATCTTACAAACTCCATATATGTGATTATATATATGCATATGATTACAGATGAATAATTACATAAAGCACCCAAATTGGTTCAAGACCTTCATCTTCACCCGACTTCACCACGGAAGATTTCCCGAGGCCTGGCCTTGTGGAACGTCCCCAGCGGCCAATGGCTCCAGTCCTTCGCTCAGTTTCCGACCTGACGGACCTGACGGATCAGTAAAACAACATCTGAAAATGTGTATATACTGATCCATTTGGTTGTTAATTAATATGATATTATATGATACTGATTTATAATGATCCGTTTAATTCAGTTTATTACTTTGAAAAGGCAATTTTGTATGGCAATGCTATCCATCCTACAGTAAGTGTTACAGCTTTACTGTAGCTACTGTCCACCAGGCCGCAACTTGCAACACCCCCAGGCGAAGAGAAAAGCTCCGGCGCGATGCTGGAGAGTTGGAATATGCCTTCCTCTTCGAACCGGCCAAGGCGAAGCGGTGCGAATTTTTCGGCTGATGTCAGGTGATGTCAGATGGGACCATGGTTGATATCAATGGGAGGTACCCCAAAATGGTTAAAAAAATGGTTTAAAAAATGTTAATAAACTGGTTGGTTAAAAAATGGGAAGATCCGATGAAAAAGATGAAAGTGGATGATTTTTTCGGCTAGCCCGAAACCAACCAAAGAGGAAACCTGTCGAAAAGACGCATGGGATACGGTGGAATAGTCGACATGATCATAGGATAACTAATCTAGAGAATATTCTGAGGTTTGATGGTTGAATAATGGTAAATATTCCGGAAAAAAAAACTGGAATATCAATATTCTCATGGGATGTTCCGGAATATTCTGAGGTGCTATGGTTTTTTTTGGTGGCCGCGTCTCGCATCCCATCTCCCACCTATAGATGAAAAGCGCGGCAGGTGTCCACGCAACTCGCTGGAGATATGGTTGGCAAGGTCGGCTCCTGCTTGACATATGCATGGGCCTGAGTATATGTCATAAATTTTATATAAATTGATATAATTTCAACCCTGGATTCATAAACCCCTAGGCTGTTTAATTGGGAGGGTACCATTTAAGTATCAGATTATGACTATTGGAGGAGTACCCCCCTAATTAATAAACCATGGTTTATTAATCCGGGGTTGACATTAAATTGATATGAATGAATCTTATACGGATAATCAAAGATGCATATCAATAAATCGAAACATAGGTGGATATATCTAGAGAGAGAGTGAGAGAGAGAAATTGGCTGTTTTCATCCACCCTGGGCCTGTGAGCCTGTGTTGCTTGATTCGACAGGTGCCAGCACCACCGGCAGCGCCATTTTTCCAACATCAACGCTTGATGGAGGGCCCATATGGAGGTACCATGGCTCGGTTGCGATCTGCCGGATGTACTAGACTTATTTTTTGGGGGTAAGGTTTTCCGATGTTTTCTGGATATATAATACATCAAGATATGCCAACATATACTAAAGTTACTAAACCAAGATACCAACATATACGAACAAAAGTAACTAAACCAAGAGTAAGAGTGAGACTTTTGAAATAATTTTTCCAGTGATGCTTGGGTTTATCCCAGGCGCCCCACCGGGATGGCAAAGCCAAGAGCTGAGCAGTGAACGTTGCGAAGGTGTCTACGGTTGGTGGTGCCCCAGAGTTAGCTAAGTTGGTTTATAACTCCAATAACTATATGGTTTATGGTAGATATATTGACAAACTATTCCTATGGTTTATAAAGCAACATTCACATCACTGGGCGGGCACAACCTTGTAGGATCCATTATCAGTTGTGCCTATCGGATAGTGCCATATTCAACGAATGTTTGGCAACAGAATCTGCACATATCTCAGGTATCTCCAGCTTTTTCATCCCAATTTTTTTCCAAACATATCCGGTCTCTCCAGAATTCCTCCCCAGGTGATCAGATGGTTCCCCTGCCACCTGGAAGTCTCATGGTGGGTGAATTGGTTCTGCCACCGCTGATGGCAGGTGTGCAGTGCAAGCAGATGGGGCCATGATAGGGTCATGGATTACCTGACATTGATATAGTGAAGTCTTGTTGGTGGTTTGGAACTTTTTTTATTTTCCCATATATTGGGGATCATAGTCCCAAACTGACTGATATTCTTCAGAGGGATTGAAACCACCAACCAGAGTGAATGATATTGAATGAACCACTCCCCTGCTTCTTACCTTCTTACCTTCGGAACAATGGCCGAGTGCCGACTTGAACACCCGAAAAGCAATCTGAGGGTTTCAGCTTGCGATGGTTTAGATGGCCTATTCCGTTCCATGATTTACGTAGCAAAAAATGATGATTTTCCGCAGCAAACTGGCACGCATTATGCAAGGAGTGCCTCCCAAATTCTAGTCGTTGGTTTCTATTCACACTCCAGTACCTATAGAAATATATCCACCACAGACCTTAGTTTCAGTAGTTATCAACCAGCTGCCTATGGGTCACCACATTTTTTACCACCTGTTTTGGTCACAGGCTGGGAAAATGCCATGGGTCCCCGTGCACCACTGCGCTCTCTGCCACCGCCGCCGGAGAAGGAGGAACCCAGGTCAGTCACAGTGACTCAGTGGGTGCTGCAGGGTTCATGAGCCATTTGAGGGATAATCCCAGTGTTTATCATGGAGATATGATGGGGAAATGGTGATTATAGAGGTGATTATAGAGGTGGTTTAATGGGATTTAATGGTGATTATAGAGGTTTAATCAACCAAAAACAGGGATGTTGGTGGATATATCCTCTGGTAAACTACTGTAACATAACTATAGAACATCACCAGCTATAGAATAGGTAAATCAACTATTTCTATGGGCTATGTTCAATAGGAAACTGTTGACCTAACCAGAGGGTAGCTTATAACCCCAGGTTGACCAGTTGCTCAGCGGGATGATGATTGGCTTCGAAGTTCTCTCCAGAAGTCAGCCATATGAAGGTTCAATGTCTAGGGACGTAGCCGATGACAATGCCGACAACATATTCTCAATGGCCATGCAGCAGGAACCGATTTATTGGAGGTACCGATTCCATATATAAGGCCTATTTTTCGGGCCTATTTTTCAGGCCTATGTAAGGAAATATCCCCACAAAATATGGCCTTATATGGTAATTACTAACGTACCTCCATTTTAGGATCCTGAAATTACCATTGATATTCAATCCGATTGGTTTTGATTAGCTTGGATTATAAAGATGAGGATGAGCATGGTTCCTGGCCATGATATGCCATGATCCAAAATCAGGATTCAGCCAAGGGGATTTTTCTCCAGGCTGGAAGAGCATCAGATGCTGTTTCCGGATATGTTTCATTTCGCACCATCCTCAGTTTCGGTGGTGGTTTCGTTCTCGAGAATTTCCCATTCCACCATTTCAGCATTGGTTGAATTAGTTGGCTTCCCTTGAAAATTGCCATCAACTAGCCAAACAAATTGGTGAACTACCCTCTGGTAAACGTTTACATAACTATGGACAATCACCATGCTATTTTCATGGGTAAATCAACTATTTCGACTGGACCATTTTCAATAGCAAACTGTTGACATAACCAGAGGGTAACATATGTAAAACCAATGGTTTCCTCAAGAAAATGATCTACAAATGGTGGGTTTTCCCTGGTTTTCCTCACATCTTTTTGCAGCTGCGCTGAGGATCGTGATGACCATGAAGCTGAGGAGTTGGGGAGCTCAGGGTTTTTCGGATGAGACGAGTCAATCAAAAGCTGAAGATGAGCTGAAGATGTGAGTTGATCAAAGTTGATATGATATTACCCTCTGGTAAACAGCCACGAAACTATGGAAGATCACCATGCTATTAATGGGAAAATCCACTATACATGGCCATTTTCAATAGCTACTAATAGTGTTCATTGATATTCATTATACCATCTGGTTATTTAACAGTTTGCCATGGTATAGCTGACCCATAGAAATAGATGGTTTACCTATTAAAACTGGTGATTTTCCATGGCTATGTTAAATAACCAGATGGTATAATTATTAAACATATCAATTTATATCAATGCCTTGTGTATTTAATGTTCATGTGTTTTTATTTTAAATAATCCATCATGTTTGTATCATTCCTCAATGGTGTTGTACGGTCCCCCAATATTATTGAGGTATGACAGAATGACAGGTATGATTGATATACATATATATTATATGATTATATTATATCATATATATATATACATATTATTTAGATAAATAAATATATATATATATATGATTCTCCCTTGCCTCATCTAGGCCAAGTTGCAGCATATGCTTATCCCTGAGGTTATGGCTAAAGCCGCCCGAACGCAGCAAGGCCATGACTTGCTTCATCTTGGTTCATCTTGGTCCATGGGGATTTGACAAACACGTGGGGAAGATGACCAAGCAAAACAAGTTGGTGATGTCATACCTTCTGGTAATTGAACAGTTTGCTATGGAAAATGGCCCATTGAAATAGTGGATTTACCCATTAATAGCATGGTGATTGTCCATAGCTATGTTAGTCATTACCAGAGGGTAAATCATGAGAGAAAAAATCGTACTTTTAGTGGGAGAAACCATGGGTTTGTACCATGGGAAAATTCTCCCAAAGTGGGAGAAACCATGGGAGAATTTAAAAAAATAGTACTTTTGAGTACTACTTTGCCTGATCTTTGTCTATATGTTTCATATTGGTTCATTATTCATGGATGCATGTGGTAAACCAAATGCAAAATTCAGCATCCCCAACATGATCAATCCCTATAGGCTAATAGCTGGGATTTCTATCATCCCAAATCCCTTAGATTAAGGCCTGAAAAATAGGCCTTATATATGGTAGGTACCTCCAATAAATCGGTTCCTGAAATGGCCATTGAAATATGATTGGGATACCCTCTGGTTATTTAACAGTTTGCCATGGCCCATTTATAGATGGTTTACCTGGGTTTACTATTGATTAGATGATCTTAAATGGTAGGTTTACTATTGACTTTACCCTTGAATCCCCAGAAAAGTTAAGCATAGCGATCCCATGACTTCCGCCGAAGCCACAGGTGGATTCCTTCTTTGGCGCTGATCGTGACTTCGAGGTGCCACTTGGGTTTTTTTGGGGCCAAAGCTGACCATGGAAATGACTCTTAAAGAGCTGAAATACCCTCTGGTAAACTAACATAACTATATATGGAAAATCACCATGCTATTAATGGGAAAATCCACTATTTCAATGGCCATTTTCAATAGCTAACTGTTGACATAACCAGAGGGTACATTCAAATCCCAGAGTTTTTTGGGGGGACCCAAGACATTCGGATTCTTTTTCCTGATCGGAGGTTTGGAACATGTGATATATGACTTTCCCATCATATTGGGAATTGAAACATCATCCCAACTGACGAAGTCCATCATTTTTCAGAGGGGTTGAAACTAAACCACCAACCAGTTGATATGTCAAGACATTTCATGGCCAAAGATGATCTCTTCAATTTTTGGCCACATTTCATGGTCGATTTGCGTGAAAAAGGCGTTGCTTTTACTTGGAAAGCCATCGCCATCGAACAGCAATTTCCAGATTTTCATCTGATGGCAATGCTCCAAGGTGCTGGCCTTGACGGTAAGGTTCTCAGCTCCGCTTGGAATGTGGTAGGATTCTGGTGATCTTGGAAAAATTCCATTTATAATGGACACCTCCATTTATAATGGGATTTTCCATAGCTATATGTTAAATAACCAGATGGTATGATTTTTATTGACCCAATACCCTCTGGTAATTTAACAGTTTGCTATTGAAAATGGCCATTGAAATAGTTGATGTTCCCATTAAAACTGGGATTTTCCATAGTTATGTAAACGTTTCTAGAGAGTAGATCTGGATACATCTGGATGTGGAAAAAATCAGAAGGTTTAAGCTAGTAAAGTATGATAAAGATGTAATTGTTTATTTAAAAGTTTCATTTTGCTGCTCATCCATTCTTGTCTGATGAGCATGGGCCAATCTTCCCAATGAAAACAATTTCCTCCAGGCTGAAAAGTGGCGTGCTCCCGTCATCACCCCTTTGGACGTGGATGTCTTCCATGACAAGGCTTGCCCTCATGAGGGATCCATGATGATAAATTTCCAGAATCGAATGTCTAAGGCAAAGGTGTTGATGAGGATACACTCAGTGGCCCTTCGAGGTTCTTACTTGGCAAGTCTTACTTTTGTTTGATACATTTGATACCTTAGCTTCGCTTATCACTATGATTTTTTTGAGTTGCGCCTTGTGAATCACAGTTTCATTCCAGTTTCAAACATCCATATCATGCGCCTCACCAATCCGATCTCCCAAACCCATATGACAAAAACCACAACACAGCATGGAAAAGAAACTGTTCCCATCAGCATGGCTCAAGGATAGGTATAGAATATTAGAAGAGTATAGAAAAATGCTGTAGAGCCGGCATCTGCCAATATCTGCCATGCAGGGTATCGAGGAAGATCAAGGCTACCAAAGTACTGAGGACGAGTTTCACCTCACCACCTCTGATGAGTTCGTGGACGGCGGACACCGTGCACGCCGTGCGCGGCGCCACGGTGCAGTGCCCATCTTGGAGGAAGTGGATCTGGAAGAGCTGAAACTCTGGGATGAGGAGGAACCTCAGCTGCAAAATAAACCATCCTTGTACAAGGTGGTGCCCCATAGTTAGCTAAGTTGGTGAACATAACTCCCATAACTATGGTTTATGGCAGATATAACTATAGTTAATGGGGTTTATAAACCAAGTTATAACTGGGGGGCACCATCCTGTACCCTCTGGTAAACGTTTACAGTTTGCGAACTGGAAAATGGCCCATTGAAATAGTTGATTTACCCATTAATAGCATGGTGATTTTCAATAGCTATTTTGACATAACCAGAGAGTAAATCGAACTTGACCCTCTGGTAAACAGCCACATAACGAACTGGAAAATCACCATGCTTTTCATGGGAAAATTCACTGCAAATGGTGATTTTCCATAGTAGTCCATAGTTATGTGGCAGTTTACCAGAGGGTAAGTTCTATGAGTTTTAGTGAATTCACCATATATATGACATTTAATATGACATTTAATATGACTATGTGTTTACTCTTGGCTTGTGTAACTTGTGTGTTTCCCGATTTATATATGTGTGTTTGGGTTGGAAGGGTGTTCTCTTTTGATTGCTGTTTTGGTGGCTACAAAAAGATTGTGGAGAACGTCCATTCCGCACAAATTGGATGATGAATGATGAACAGAACCTAGCTGCTTCTTTCGTTTTCACGACACAAACCATTTTGTGTGTTAATGTTAGGTTGCGATTTTGTTGGTCACCAATTAAGAAACATTTTAACTCTGGAAACATGGTGGTCGGTTGTAAGCTTGTGGGGTTACCTATTCTGTGCACATACATGCAAACCTATCAGGCATTTTTTGATTATAATACTGAGTTCACCCTTCACAACTCCCTCCTTGATTTGTTCTCTCCAATCCTGCCTGCAAATGTATCAAGAAACATCTAGTGTTCCGGCTTTATTTCCAGCTCATATAGTCTTCCGTTTCCTGTCAATTTCCTGCATGTACTTCTCAAAATCAACCTGGTTCAAAAGAACTAAAAGAACCTCCATTTACTTGGACCGGTTGTTTCCAAACTATGTGTCCTCATTTTTTTCACTCAAAAATCCTCTGTCTGGTGATGTTTGTTCCTTCATGTTTCTCCATTCCAAAAATATAATCACAGTTTTCCTCACCTTTCCCTGCAAAAAAACAACATGAACATCATCAACAAACATTTTAAAAAAACATCCAAAAATGCTGACATGTTCCATAATCATCCATCTTTCCCCCATGTTTTCAGGAGTTGCACTGCACCCGGGCGCCACGCGTCCCGGCCGCCGAAGTGCTGCAGCTTCTGCGGGAGGTGCCAGCATCGCTGCGCAGCCGCTACTGCGCCCGGCTGCGGCTAGAGGCGCAGCGGCGACGCGCCGCGCAGGCGGAACAGGCGGAACAGGCGGAACGCGCTGGAGCTCCTGGAGGTGGGGATTGAAACTGGGAAACCCTTGGAAACCCTTGGAAACTGGGAAAATCTACAGGAAACTATGGTTTTTACCATCAAATATACGTAGGTTTGTCCTGTAAATTTTCCCTTAAACCAATCCAATGATGGTACCCTCTGGTAAACAGCCACACAACGAACTGGAAAATGGCCCAGTCGGAATAGCTGATTTACCCATGAAAATAGCATGGTGATTTTCCGTAGTTATGTGGCTGTTTACCAGAGGGTAACTTATTCACTTGAGATGGGATGAAGATATGGATTAATACGTGTGATCAAGATATAGAATCTCTTAGAGAAGTTGTGTTTGTTTGGTATTGGTTCATATCATTGAAGGATTATGCATGGTCCTGCACTTATGAAATGTCATGAATGACCTGTTTATCCCATTAGATTCGATTGAGCATTGTTGAGAGATCATTGTTGAGAGTAAGATTGCTAACATTTTCCAACATCTGTGCTTCCTTCCATGGGTCCTATTGTTTCGTCCGTATCCACATGAAGGAGATCTGAGCGCTGCAAGTGATGGGAACATGGAAGTAATATATTGAAATGATCGGGGCATCCCCCAATTTTGTTTGTGATGATTGTTGCTTTGTAGACAGAAATATAAGACAATAGCAGATTAATCAGCATTAAGATGATCATAGATGATCAAAATCTCGAAGCGGTTTATTTTCATAGGATATTTCGTTGACATTTCAGGCAGATGGAGATGGAAAAGATGGACTTGGATCGGTTGCTGCATCTTGGTGATTTGTGCTACCTGGGCACATCCCAACATTCCCAAGCCATCTGCAACTACCATGGCCTCCATGGCCTCCATGACCTCCATTGCCTCCGTGTCGGCTGATGTTCCCAGGGATCGTTTCCAGCTGAGCGCCCGATCACCATCAGTGAATGGCACAGCCATAGGATGTCCCGACGCCCTCAAGAGAGCAGAGGATGAAGCCATATCCATGGAGGTTTTGACGAAACGTCACTGGGTGTTCCAGGATGGGGGGAGGATGGGGGGGTCGAAGTTCTTGGGTTGGTAACTGTTATAGAAGAAAATAGGGTCGCTTTGGTATTGTTGGATTGGGGTTGGCCCCATTGATATAAAGGCAGTTTCATGAGGTTGTCCCCTTGCTTTGTTCGAGAACACCCGTTTGCTTGCCCTAGATCGCATTCTTAGCATTAGCGATAATTCCCTGACATTTTTTGGACCAACATGGACCTCAATGCTGATGCAACAACATGGCAAACACGCTGATCGAACTCTCCGATAGGATTCTTTTGTTTCGGGAAAATTTCTGGAAGCCACTGTTTTGGAAGGCCAAGTAAGAGAACCTTAAACTGTTGTTGGGTAAATCAGCCTTCAGCTTCAGGTGACATCGTGGGCTACAACCAGATGTTGGCCTCTATCCATGACTGGTCCAGTACCTTGACGACACGTGTTCCAGCATCGATTGCCAGCTGTTTGCAGGTTGAGGGCCCGAGATTTTTGAAGTTGGTGGAAGACTTACGTGCCTCCCTTCTCTCAGCACATGCCCGTGCTGCAAGGGCTAGGGCACGTTTGACCATGGAAAGGAATGCCAGGATTTTTCTCAGTGATTAGTTCGTCTCAGCTGATGACAGCTGAACTTTTAAATTCGTAATTCAACATGGGACCTGTCTCCGACAGCTGTGTACCAGGCAGCATGGGGTGCTGCCAACAAAATCCTTTGAAATGCCCCACAAGAATCTTGGGCAAAAGCAGAGGTGGAGGTGATCATCAGTCGCAGCAGACCAGCACACCTGGATGTCAAGCCTCCCCCTCTCAATCTCGCGACCGTTTCACCGAAGGTGCGGATCTGTTCCTGCAGATGGAAAATGCATAAAACCAGTAGGTAGTGCCCCCCAGTTATAGGTTGGTTTATAAACCCCATGAACCATAGATATATCATGAATTATCATGATATATCTACCCCTATAGTCAGTTTTGTTAGTTATAAACCAACTTGGCCTGGGGCAGCACCGACAAAGGGTCCGAGTCTCCAGGTTTTTCCGGATATGGACGTGCAGCACTCAGATCCAGCACAGTTGAACTTGGCAGTTACCCTCCGGTTATGACTAACATAGCCATGGTTAAACGATGGCCCTAATAGAAATAGATGATTTTCCCAGCGAACTATATAAACCTCCATTTATTTTGGGGATTTTCCATGGCTATGTTAGTCATAACTAGATGGTATATCATCCCTCCACCTTATCATAGACTAGACACACACAGTCCCATGTCCCTGCCCAAATGATCTAAATTGAATGATCTACCCTCTGGTAAATTAACTTGTTGACCCTGAAAATCACCGTTTTATAGAGGAAACTCATCTTCCAACCCCGATGACTGCCAGGGTCCAACTGTTAATTTACTGGAGGGTAAATGTGGTACTCTTGAAAACACTAAGAATGACCAATTCTCATTAATTCTCAGGGTCACATTAAATGTCACAAAACTGCGACATGAGGTGAGTGTGCTTCAACCGAGACGGAAGGAGGTTCCTGTTGAAGCCTCGGAAAATGGTGTCCCCCATGTATAAATGATATATATATATAATTAGTGATTTATAGTTTATAAAATGATATTTGATATATATATATATATATGATTTGATATTTATAGTTTATAAACCCCAGTCACCATAGATATCTAATAGATATATCATGATATATCTACCATAAACATCCATAAACCCAGAAAATTGTCTTGGTCATCAACCAGCTTGAAACCTTTGAAACATCAGCCAGAGTGAAACCCTGGTCATACCGAGGTCAAGGAGGTGAAGACCAAGGTCACGGAAAGGCGTTGGAAGCTCGGAAGATGCCAAGATGACTATGGCCATGCCCAAACAGATTCAACTGATAGAACGGTTGTTTCCAGGATGCTATAGATGTTAAATAATGTTAAATACATATGTCCAGGTGTTCCATTTTTCGATCTATTTTCGAGCTGCTATAGAGTCGCTAGAGGCTGCAGTCGGTCTCGGTGTTGATGTGTTTGCCCATCAGCACTTGGCCGACTGGTTCTGGTGTCAAAAGTTGATGTTTTTTCCTTTTATCACATCTGGGTAAATTATAACGACCTCACTGCGACCTCACTGGAATCATGGTTAATAAGGGAAATTATCCCCAAATGGCCGAACCATTCAGGTTAGTGAAATATTATAATTTACCCAGATTTTATCAAATCGGTGACTAGAAGACCTTACCAGAAGATCTCAACAAGGTTCGTTTCAATAGCTATCCAGTGGAGGGAGCAGCGAAGGATCAAGGACAAGGTTCGTGTCCCAACCACCTTTTAGGTACAAAGGGCCTTCCAGAAGTACCAGTACCGCTGACTCTGGTTGCAACTTGCGTGGCTACATGAAAAAACAATCTTGTTCAAGGAACCTTCAATGATGTTTCAAGATATCTTTGACACGCGATTCCAAAGGCACTCATCTCAGTTGCTGAGATTCATAGCCAGGTAGATGGGTGGATGGAGAACAAGCCCAAGCAGAATCTGAAGATCAAAGATCAAGAGCCACGTCAACCTTTGAGGCCCAGCACAACATTCCTTGTCACTGAAATGATGAGAATTGGAGGAGAATCATCCTAAATGGCTGATTGATATATAGGTGAATCAATTGAATGAATAATTTACTGAATTCATCCATATAAATATATATATATATATAATATAATATAATATAATATATATATAATATATATAATATACATATATATATAATATTTATATAATATATATATATTATATTATATATATATATTATATATAATATTTATATATATATATGTGTGTGTGTGTATGTATGTATATATTATATTTATATCATATATTTATATTATATTATATTATATTATATTATACTATATATATATACATTGCCTCAAAGAGGACAAGACCAGTTCGAGTACCCATCAGAATCATCGCCGATGAAATTCCAAGAACAGAACAATCGGCTTTGTTCAGATCTAGCATTACAGTTGGTTGTATATCCCGTTAAACTCCATTCTATGTACATATAATTATAAATTCCATGAAAAATCATATTAAATCCGCAATTTAGTTGGTTAAAGTTGGTTAATTCACCATAAACTGTTGATAAATGGTGTGTTTCTTGTTGTTTTGCCATGGGTTTTGCATTCCAACGAGGCCACTGGAGGATGAAACGCAGCGTAGTTATGACAACGAGGAAGCCCGTGACGCTGAGGGTCGGAAGGTGGGAAGCTCAGTCCATCGATGTCCATCGTCCCGGACTGCGATACACCCCTGTTGGTTGATGAGTGAGGGGATTATATTATTACTACTACCCAATATATTGATTATAATGATTATTATACATATATATATATATGGATAATATTATATATAGATATATATATATATATGTATACATATAATATATGTAAATGTATATATGTATATATATTTAGATTGGTAATTATAGCAATCCAACAGGAGAATCCCGGTCTTAAGCAAATTTATCCAACCAGTACAATGGAATGACTCTATGGGATTTTGAACACTGCTTAGGTGACATGAAAGATCATTGGGGATGAATGCAGGGAAGACCTGCAGCTAGCAACCAGACGTGCCACCTGTGGGTATTGTTCATGGCGTAAATCACGTCAGTTGTATACCAAGGCGAGTTGAAAAGTGGGCATTTAGGCCATGTATATCCATGGTAAACGTTTACGTAACTATGGAACATCACTATGTTCAATGGGAAAATCCACGATTTTCAATGGGACAATCCACGATTTCTACTATACCAGGCCATGTATCTCCATGTATTACGTTAGGCGGATGAAAAATGTGTTAGGATGATCTGCCGATGGGGCGGAGTTTTCGCTTGAGGCCAAGGCTCCATGTATTTCGCCCATTATGGAGGTGCCTGGCCTCAGTTTCCAACAGAATGCTGTCGCCAGGCCACAACAGAATGCCACATAAAACCCCATGGTTTTGGGGGATATTCCTTAAAGGAAGACATAGGAAGACGTTCCCACATGTTCCCACTTTTTTTGGGATGTTGCTCAGATGACTCTATTTGTGAAGCACAACATTGTGCAGCCAGCCATGCCTTTTTTTTCAGGCTCGGAACAGGCGACGCGATGCCAAACTGAA